AACCCCAACCCCCAACCCCAACCCCGATTTATCTTTATTTGTATTTATTTTTAACTTTTGTTAATTAAATAAATTTACTATTGTCTTCCTATTAAAATAAAAAAAAAAAATTTAATATTACTTAATCAAAAAACTTCACAAAACAAATATGAAATTTAAACTATTAAAAAATATCTGCATTTCATAATCATAAATTCATACATTTTTAAATGCTCTTTTTAGTAATTAGTTTATTTCAGGATATATTAGATAAGGGCAATTATAACTCAACTCACCTATACTACCCATAAGATATCAAAATTTAACGTAATATTAAAATTTTATCTTCTTTATTAAAATTTTTTATAAAGGGTATACCAATAAAAAATGATTATTTATTTATTAATAAATGAATATATTATTATTGAAAATAAATATTCATATTTATTAAAATTTTACTAATATCTTTTAATAAAGAAGTGACTTAAATAAATGATCTAAAATAAGAAAAATTAATTTAATGTTTTTATTAAAGATTTTTAATAAATAAGTATATTATTTTAAGTAGAACCTAATAAGTACTTTTGATTTACATATATAAATAAACAATAACCTTCTATCAAATTATTTTTGTGAAAAAGTAATCTCAAAGTATATTAATTCAAAAATATTGTGTTTAAATTATGCTTAATAATAAGATGCTTGATGGATGAATAAATTTATTATTTGTTTGTAAAATTAAAGCCATTCACTTTAAATAATGAGCCCATAAATAGCTCAAAAAAATTAAAGTATAGATAAATATTTTGGAGCTAATTATAATAACAAAAAATACTGATTTTTTATTTAAACGAGAAATTTTAATTTAGTTTTTGATTTATTATAAAATACAAAATAACATATTTTAGTTCTAAGCGTTGATTGGTTTTTACCTTAAAATTATTAATTAATTCAATGGTATTAAGCTTTGATCAATTATTATTTAATTTTTATAGAAATTTACACATTTAAATGTATTTACATAATTTCTTATTGATATTTTTTTTATATAAAAGGCTCAAATTTTCAGGTGTTTATTTTGCTTTATTAATATTTATAAAGTTATATTCTAAATAATTTTGAGTAACCTAATTTAAATTTCTATGAGCTTGAAATTCAATAAAATAAAAAAAAAATTTAGTTTTGTTCATTTTCATATTTTAAATTATTACTTGTAAAAAATAGAAATGACTAAATAATTTAAAATTGTATGTATTATATTTCCTTTTTCTAAGATTTTTTTTTAAAAACTATGAATTAGAAGTAAATAAAAATTATTTATTTTTACTTAATAGGTATATCTAGTAATACATTATAGGAGCCATTATAGTATTCAAAGAAGAGTAGTGAATAAACAGAAACGATCTTGTATCTTAACTTTGATTGAAACAAAGAAATTACAAAGATTAAATAACATTTTTAAAATTGCTTGTAAAATCAATTCAATTAGTAATTGTAATTAAAAAAAATCTAAAAAATTAAAGTAATCTTCCTAAAAATATCAATTTTAAGAATATTGGATAACCTACCAAATATAAATCTAGAAAACATTTCATAATAACAGAAATATTAAAATAAGCTTTTAGATAAATGAGTATTCAAACTCTAGGCGCTCTCGTCATGAGCAGAAAAAGAAATGATATACCAGAGGAGGAGAAAATCAGAAGAAGAAATATTATAGAATAAAATAAAAAAATACAAAAAAAGGAGACATAGGTAAGCATAAACAATAAATTAATGTATTTACTTAAATTAGAGTTAATATTTTTTAAATGTAGAGACTATACTCGTTGCTAGAGAGCCAAAATTCAGATAGAAATGCGATTGATGCTGACAGTTTTGTGAACTTATTTGGACATCTTAATTTTTTCAAAGAATATATTTAAGAAGGAAATAAACAACTGATTAGGTAGGCTTTTATGAAAGCTGATTTATAAACATTCTATAAAAACTAGTTCATTACAAGAAAGGGTATTTTTAAAGCAATTTATTATTGAAAAATAAGTATTTATTGATTTTTTGAAATATGAAGGAGAAAAAAACAACTAGTTTATGCTTATTTTGGAAGGATAAGTAGGACTTTATTTAGAAGTTGCAGACTAGTTAAAGCCTAGTAAAAAGTAGCTAATTTTGATTAAAAAGCTTATTCAAGGGGATCCAATAGAAATGGGTACTCTTATTGATGGTTAAAACTATTTAATGACAACTTAGGCTTTGAGTGACACAGTTTAGATTTTAAGCATGACTGCTTAGAATTTTAGTAAAACTTTCTAAAAATACGAGTCAGATAAGTTCGATGCGGATTTAAATTTCTTAAAGGGAGTTCCTTTTATTTCAGACTGGCCAAGAAAAAATTTAACATCACTACAAATGTGCATTACAAAATACACTGTCCCTCGTAGTTAAATAATATACTAAGAAGGGTAGCAAAGCCATGCACTTTTTATAGTGAAAAAGGGCGAATTTGGAGTAATTTAAGCAAATATATTAAACACACATACATACATTTATTTATTTATCAATTAATGCACTGTTTGAAATTTAATAATAATTAAAAATGAAAATAAAATATACTGAATGATAATTTTTAATTTTTTTGCATTTATAGAATTGAAAATTAAATAATTTCGGACAGTCATTAGAGATAAATAAATAAATTATTTAAAATAAAGATTGATTTATGATTTATAGAAAAATTTGATAAATTTAATCTTAATTATTTGTAAACAAAAGCAATACAAAAAGAGATAATTTTGGTAAAGAAATGAAAATATTGATAAAGGCGAGCCAGTAGAATTTAATGAAAAATTAAACAAAATTGAGGAAATTGAGTAGAAAACAAGTGAACAAAAACAAGATTAGAGTGGATCAACAACTCCTGCTGCCAAATCACAGACTCTTTTGAGAGGTTTAAGCAAATAAGATGCTTTTAAAAAAGTAGCAGGATTTCTTGTTGGTTCTGTTGTAGAAATGAATTCAGACTTAGTAATCTTTAATTTTTAAATTTAATTAGATTTCCAATAAAAAATACTTTCGAAAAAAAAATGTGTTTTCCAACTACACAATTTCTTTAGGTTAAAAATTGCCGAATAAAGGCAACTCTAAAAGGAATTGAAAATATAAAAATAGATAATTAGATAATTAAGTAAGAGAATGATATTACTTATTTTTATTAATTAAGAAAGTATGTTATTTTCTATTGTTGTAGATAATTCCATTAAAAAACTAAATTATGTTTTTGATAAGAATTTTTTAGTATGATTTTTATATTCTAACAATTTTTTTAATAATTAGATATAGACGTTTACAGTTTTTGACAGTTTTGGTGAGAAGGAACTTTTAAATTAATCACCAAGATAGAATAGTGTTGTTTGTAGATCTGCTTAAGGAGAACTCATTTAAATTAAGTCTCGCCACTTCTTCATCATAGCTTAAGAAGATCCTGAGCTTAAATTTTCTGTGATGACTAAAATGATGGTTGACTCCAAGAAATCAGAACTTAAAAATTTGAGAACTGGTCTTTCTTTCCGAAATGAAAACGAGTTACTATTATTTGATAAAAATCTTAGTAACATTGAAGAAATAGAAGACAAAATTAATTTACTTTAAACAACTGGTAGCATATCAAGTACTTTAGGCAACCATCCTTACAATCACGATTCAATGCAAACAAATCTCAATTAGACAAATAAATCTGGTTTGAATAAATTGTAATTCAATCCTAAGTAATCTCTATCTTCTTCAAACAAATAAAATACAGCTCATATTTATTTTGAGCATCGCCGATAATCTAAGAAATTTGAAAATACAAGTGAATAGATTCAAAATAATCTAAAGATAAATCAGGTACTTTTACCTTAAAGAAAATCTGTGTTAGTTACTGATTTAACACAGTATTTACACGAAAAATAAAGCTAAACTCCTACTGCTTTAGGAAGCAATTAATAAAGTAAGCGCTAAATTGTTGTGAGTAAATATGAAAACCCAGGGCCTTATAATATTTAATAGATAGATAATAATCACTAAAATCATTTAATTAGCAACTTCTTAGACACTCATAGCATAAGTAGTAAAAATAAAATAGAATCTCTGTAAGAAATTGATTCTTAATATAGTAAAGTAATTAAATTACCAGCTATTTAAACCAATAACACAACATCTTAAAACACTAACTCCTCTCTAAATATAAGAAGTTAAAACTAAATGCGTGGAAATTCTTTTTCTAACACTTTTGAAAGATAATATGGAGGTTCATTAACACCTAATCATGCATCTTAAAAATATAGTTTAAATATAAGGAAATCATTTAATTTTGGAGGAGATTATATCTACGAGCAATAAAAGTCACCATTTGATTAAGGCAAAGATTCTCATTTAGATACAGATTCTGGTCTTCCTTCTAACAAGTACTCATCAAGACCATTAATAAGTTAAATAAGCTACTCTTAATTCTAAATTAATATCTGAACTATTTATAATTAATTACAGAAACTAATTAAAATCTTATTATATTTATATATCATTTGCATTTAAAAAATAAAAATATATATTAAAATTATTAATTTATTTTTAAATAATAAAAATTTTTATTATAATATTTACTTATAAGTTGAGTAAAACCAAGCAAAAGAATATCTAAAACTAAATTAAAACATTTTCATTAAAATCAAAATAATTGCTAAAAATTTTTTAATTTAAAATTAATAATGAAAGAAAATTAAAAAAATGAATTTTATTGCTATAAATAATAAATGCAGTTTTCTAGAAATATTTCTTTTTTTTCTTAGTTTGATATAAATAATTAAAAATAATATCAAATAATGCTTAAAAAATCTTATAAATTTCTCAAAAATTAAAATAAATTTAAATCTTAAAATTAAAAATATTGAATATTTAAAAAAAAATTTTATGAGATTTAAAAAATAAAATTGTATTTATTGTTTATTTATATGCTTTAATAACTAACAATTAACAAAATAATGCAAATAATGGTGGTTGATACATTTTGATATATTTTTATTATTTTAACAAATGTAAAAATTACATTTTATAATTTTCATTTATCTTTTTTAGTAAATTAATTAAAACATTTTAAATATTTTTAAAATAAATTTATTAAATAACAGATAAGATAAATTTTACCTAATGATGAATGTAAGTAAATAAATGTTAGCAAATATTTAATGTTATTATAAATGTAAAAATAACTTTTTGTATTATTTACTCATAATTTTAGTAAATATTTTTAAAAATTTTGAAACTATTTTTAAAATAGCTTTATAAAATAATAAATAACTAAATAATTAAAAAAAAGCATTTATTTAGAGTTATTAGAAATGAATAAAAGGTTCAAATATTTTAATAAATGATTTTGATTTTGAAACATATTTCTAAAAAATTTTGAAATTTTCAAAGATTCCTTCCTCAATTTAATTAAGGTCTTTATTTTTTAAAAATAATAAATTTTTGTATAATCTTAATAGTAAAAATTATAGATATATTATTTGTTTAATATCTTCATATTAAAATAATAAGCAGAATAGAAAGCAAATTTTAGGTTTCCATAGCACAAAACTTAAATTTTGAAGCAGGAATAAAAGTTTATATCAGTTTAAATTAGCAATTATGAAGTGTTCAGAACTATGGACGGAAATCATTGTATTTTTTTTAAACACTAGCAACCATTATTTATAAAGAGAATAATTTTATTCCACTCTACTTTAAAAAAATTGATTAATGATCACAATAAAAAATAAAAAAATAGCCCAAGAATGACCCCAATTCTAATATAACAAATCAAGTATGGAGTTGTAGCTTCAATAATGGTATTAAAATTAAACATTTGCAAAATTCATTCAGAATTTAAAGTATGTGCAGGATATTTATTCATACTTTATCATATAAATAGATGGCTCTATATTATTAGCTTGTGTAGGAGATGCTATTCTTGTATACGATTCATTTACTGGCAATTTAGTAAATAAAGCAATTAGAGGAGGTAATTATAATTTTTTATAATTCATTAAATAGGGATAATTCTAATAATTTTTTTAGGAAAAAAGCTTTTCATTAACCATTATAATAATATAATTTATTGCTCTGCTAAGTTAAAAATTAATGCTAATTATTTTTATGTAAATAAAGGATAAAAGGAATAAATTAATTGCATCAAGTTCTCAAAAGATGGAAAAAGGTTTGCAACTGCTAGGTAATTAAGACTTACCAATAAAATATTCAAAACTACTAAATGGAGCTTGATAAATAGCTATAAATTGCTATATTATGCAACTAATCCAATAATAAATTATTATAAATTTTTAAATTTTGATTGGATTTTGATATTAAAATTTTATAAATTTTTAATGTAAATTTTAGTAATGATAAAACTGTTTGGGTCTGGTCATTCGATGTAAATAAAAATCCCAAATTAGCACCTGAAGTAAAATATTCTCATACAGATAAGGTTTTATGTCTTGCTTTTAATCCATTGACGCATCAAGTAATTAATAAATTTTTTCAATTATAATTCGAGTATTCAATTTATAATAAAAAATAAAAGATTTTCTCTGGAGGTGCTTAGGACTATGCTTTATGGACTCCAGATCAACAAAGTATAGAAAAATCTAAATTTAAAGATAAAATAATAACTTGTGCATGGAGTTGGGATGGTTTATATTTAGGTTTTGGTACTATGGGAGGTATTATTGGAATAAGAAACAGAGCTCTCGAATAGTTAGCAGAAATTTAAAGGTCATTCCCTATATGGTGTATGGATTGGACGCCAATTACTCCTGACTATTAAAACAGTGTTCTCGTAGTAGGTGTTTGGGAATAGTCAATAGCTCACTATAATATTTAAGGTCAATAATTAGGTTCGGATAAAAAGCTTACATATGATCCTATAGATATCAATTTTAGCACTCAAGGAGAATTCCTTTTAGTAAGTGGAACTAATAACAAATGCACTCTATACACCAGAGAAGGTGGCTTTTTAATAGATGTTGCAACAAAAAATGATTGGGTTTGGAATAATAAATTGAAACCTGTAATTAAAGAAGCTGGTAATTATTAACTAATTTAAATAAATTCAATAGAGATTAATTTTTGTGTAAAAAATGTGTTTTAATTTTTTGTATGATTTAAATTTAACAGGATCTGTTGCTGTTTAAGATTAGTTACACGTTGCTTTAACTACAAATGATGGCGAAATCAGTATGTTTAAAATTCAATAACTAACAGTGCATGCACTTGAAGGTGATAAATATGCTTATAGAGATAATTTAACAGATATTGTTGTTTAGAGCATGAGCTCAAATTAAAGAATTCGTTTGAAATGCAAAGAACTAGTTAAGAACATTAGTATATATAAAGATAAGCTTGCTGCTCATTTAACAGAAAGAATTTTGATTTATGGAACTTCTTCAGAAGATAGCTAAATGAAATATAAGTTGCATAAGAGAATAGTTAAAAAAGTTGAAGCTCATATCTTAGAAATAGTTTCAAATCACTTGATAGCTTGTGTAAAAAATAAAGTATAATTATATTAATTATCAGGAGATTTAGAAAAAGAATGGGTTTTTGACTCAAGAGTTAATTGCATTAAAATTATAGGTGGAATGCCTAACAAAGAAGGAGCTTATGTCGGTTTAAAGAACGGTTAAATTTTCAAAGTAATTTTTTTTTAATGTGTAAAACTTCATTTTATTTAAATAATAAAATAAAGATATTTGTTGATAACAGTTTCCCTATTCCTATATTAAACCACAATATTTCTATTAAAAATATTGATGCTTCTCAAAAAAGAAAAAGATTAGCAGTTGTTGATAAAAATAGCAACCTAACTGTTTATGATCTTTCAAACAAAGAATAAGTCTTCTAAGAAATGAATATTGTTTCTTGCGCTTTCAACAATAATTTTGATGACTTGCTTGCTTTTTCGTATTAATTTATTTTAATAAATATTTAAATTTCATCGACTCATAATTTTTGATAATAAATAAATGTATAGATCAACTGACACAACATTTATCAGGTGCTCTAATCATCCACCTCTATCTCAAAAAATATCAGGATAAGTTGTAGGATTTAAAGCAAATAAAGTAATAAATTATTTTCATTTAACAATTAGTTTTAATTAAATTTGTTTTATGAAATTAGTTATTTGTTTTGAATGACAATGTTATGAGTACAATTGATGTTTCGATGACTTAGACTATGATTAAATACTTAGAAAGAAAAGAATTTTAATCTGCATATGAAATATCTTTATTAGGAGTAACTGATTAAGATTTCTTATATTTAGGTAATGAAGCATTAATCGCAACACAATTTGCTATTGCTAGAAAAGTAAATATTGAAAAATTAAAATGTTGAAAATAATATTAATTAATGCTTGATTAAATTTTTAATAAATTAGTGCTACACAAGAATAAAAAAATTAGACTTCATCTATCTCCTTGAAAAGGTAAAGAAACAATTAATTAGTTTAGAATCAAAATGAACAAAATATTTTTTAATTTTAGGCAGAAAAAGATTTTAAAAAGAATACATTTGTTGAGGGATTCTATTAAGGTGAGATATATGCTTTATAAACTAAATTCTATGAAGCAGAAAACGCACTCACTAAGTCAAATTTAGCTTCTTAAGCAAAAGAAATGTGGATCATTCTTAAGGAATTTGATAAGGCTATGAGAATTACAGATACTGGTGCTAGTCCTATTAATAGAGGCCAGAATAAAGAAATAAATTGTAAATAATTCTTATTTTATTTTAGTTATTAATTTTTTAATTCCAGCTGATGCTTCTAGAAAGGACCTACTCATTTAGAGGGCAGAATGGGAAGTCAAACAAGGAAATTGGAAAAAGGGTGGTGAATTGTACATTCAAGCTGAAGTATATAAAAAGGCTATAGAAGTATATGTAACCAATAATTTCTCAGAAGGTATTGTTGAAGTTTGCAGAAACGCAGATGCAGAAACTCAAAGAAAAGAAATAGAATAATGTGCTGCATACTTTAAGTAAGCAAAATAATTTCAAAAAATTTAATAACATTTTAATTTAATTTATCAGGAAAGCAAAACTTCATCAATACACAAAAGAAGCTTACTTGAAGCTGTAAGATAACAAAGCTTTACTTTAATTGAATATTGATCTAGAAAAATGGGATGAAGCTATGACTCTTGGTAAGTTTTATATAAATCAAATTTGAGAGATAGATGAATATATTTTTGATTTTTTATTTTAGCAAAGGCTCATCCTGAATTCATGGAGATAGTCAAACTGCCTTATGCCAATTGGCTTGCTAAATAAGATAGATACGAAGAATCTTTAAAGGCATACAGAAAAATTGGTAAACATGATATGGCTACTAAGATGCTCTATAACTTATCTTAGAATGCTGTATTTGAAAAAAGATTCTCTGACGCTGCTTTATTTACTTGGATGATAGCTACTGAGCACTTAGGTTTGATTCGTAATATGAAAGCTCCAACCCCTGAAGATATTGAGAATTTAATGAAATTTTATTAGTACAGAGATGATGCTGAAATATATTTTGCATACTCCAAAGTTTAATCTTTTGTTGATGAACCATTCTTACCTTTATCAGGTCATGCTTACATGTTAAATATCTTCAATGCTGCTCGCTTCGCCATAAACAAACTAGGAAACAGGCAGTTATACGGAGTACAATTTCTTTAAAATTTATTAAAAATACTTAAAATCAAAAATTATATTATAGGTCTAACACAGTTATCTCTATTATTCATTAGGAAAAGTAAGTAAATAGCTTGAAGGTTACAAGACAGCCCGTATTTGCTATGAAAAACTAGCTGTATGTTCAAATTTATTATTATTATTATTACCAAGTTAAACATTATTTTAACAAAAAGAGCTACAAAATTCCTACTGAATGGAGCGAAGAAATAGAATTAAGTACACTCTTAATTAGATCTAAGCCATATAGTGATTAGGAGTCTTTACTTCCTATTTGCAATAGATGCTATAATTAAAACCCAGCTCTCACAGAAGGTAACAGATGTTCTTCTTGTATGCACTAATTTTAAAACTGCTTCATAAGCTTTGAAAATCTACCTTTGGTTGAGTTTAAATTGGATCCTAAAATCACACATAAGAGATTTATTGAATTAATCAATTCTGATAAATCAAAAACACAACCTAATAAAAAGAAGAAGAAAGCGTAATTAGATTTTAATAATTACTTGACTTACACTGACAATTCAAAATTAATTAAATTTTTTTTCAAAATTGGATGGAAATTATTAATTTGAACTGATATTTTGATTATTTCATAATAATTTGATTAAATAGAAACGACGGATGGTAAGAATCTCACTAAGGAGATTAATAAGTTCTCACCTTTAACAATTCACCTTAAAAAGGAGGAAATGACAGTAAAAGATTTTAGCATGATTATTTAAAATTTATTATTTAAATCTAAAAAATATTAAGATGAAAGCAGTCCTTTCTTAGATAAACTTAACGAAGTATTCGAAATTTAATAAACTACTTAAGAATACATACCTGTTACATTAGATGAAAATATAGTATCATCTCTTAGTATAGATGAGGTAATTTCGTTTAATTTTTAAAGAAAGATACAACAAATAACTAATGTATCTTCTCTTAAAGGCCCATTACAATTAGCTAATTTTTTTAATAGGTTTATTGGGTAGACTATACAAAATATTGCTACACAGCAGAAATAAAATATTACAAGAGTATGTTAACAGACATTCCTCTCAAGAATTGTTAAGAATGTGGAACATTCTACATTTTGGTAATTAATATCATTTTTTTTCCATATAATTACACACAAAAAAATTTATCAATTAGGATGAATATGAATTTGAAATAAGTAAGACATAAAAATGTCCTTTCTGCAGATCAGTTGATGAAAGAGCAGGACCTTAGAAGGATGTTTTTGATTTCTGAGCAAAAGCCTACAAATAATTAAAAGAAAATTAATATAGTTAATAAAACACAATTATAATTTAAATTTTATTTTTTATACATAAAAATTAATTTACTTGATGAATAAATTTTAATTAAAATATATTTTTATTTTTTTTATCTTTTTTCTACTTAAAGACTACCCATAAACTTTATATTATTCTAGTGAATTTAATTTTTAATATTCTTATTGAGAATATACATGAATTTAAATTAAAGGCAAATTAAATTTTTGGAAATAGCTCATAAATAGTATGAATTAATGAATGAATAATATTTTTAAATTTTCAAGAATAAACAAAAAAAATGAAGAAAACAAAAGTTATTGGTCGAAATATTTATTATGCAAAGCAAACGGAGTGTTTATGAAGTATTTTGTGGTTAGTTAGGTTATTAATACAAATGCGTTGTAAGAAAAGTTAATAATAAATATGCAAACACACACATTTTCAATTTAATTGTGGCTAAAAAAAAATTTCAACTTTTTAATGGATATTTCACTGAAACATTGATTTTTATGATACCATAAAAATTAAAAGATTCTATTAATTTATATTTTTTGAACAAAATTCATTATAAATACAGTGCATTTAATATATTATTTATGTAGAATAAGTAAATTAATTAAGTTTAGTTAAAAAACTATCAAAATCTAGTTAAGTAAATCGTATATGGAATAAGTAGAAAATCCATCAACAGTAACTAAATTACATATTTTATCTTTAAACAAATATATTTAGATTTCAAATTATTTTCTATAGGATGAGCTGGTTATCAATGTAGTTGGATGCAAGCCTGAAAAGAGATCTGAAGAACAAATATCATTTCTTTCAGATTATTTACACAAGATTCTCTCTTTTTTAAATGTCAAAAAAGAGGATTGCATTTTATGTGCGAAGTCTTGTGTAAAGCTTACCTATCACCAGAATTAATCCATTTTAAAATTGAGTAAAATTTATATTATTTTAAAAATGTTTATTTAAATTTTGATTTTGAGATAGTTATGAAAAGAGTTTTAAAGATAGAAAATATTTATTTAATAATAGAATAATAAGTAGAGTACTTTTACATCATTCTTGAAGGATAAGTTTCACTAAATTATTTGTTAGTAAACAACGAAAGCAGCAATGAAGAATAACTTAAATATGAAAAAAATTAATAATAAAATATCAATAATTTTAAAGTACCAACAGATAAAAAAAATGAGTCATTGTAAAATGTTGGTAGTTAGTAGCAAGTTGTAAATAGGCAATCTTAAAGGATTTCTGAGATTATCGATTAACCAAAAAAGAACTCAATAGTTTCAAGATATTCGCAAAGCTAGCTCCTTCCATATAAAAAATTGAATAAATTTGATTACTTTGGATAAATATCTATTTGCTTAAAACAAATATGTTAGATAGTGGCGTAATGTACTTCAAGAAATGCAGTGCTTTTAGCAATACCAAAAGATGTTTTCAATTCTACATTAAAGTTTTATTTTAGCTATGTTATATAAAATGATATTGAATTTTTGGAGACCTGTGTGCACTTCTTTAAGGAGTGGAATAAGAATTTGCTTAAAAGAATAATTCTATTTGGGTAAAAAGTATAACTTAAAAGAGGAAACCTTCTCTACAACGAAGGAGATAATGCTGATAGCATATTTCTGATAGTAGAAGGAGAATTTTCAGCCTTTAAATAATATACATACGCTCCTTCTTTTCTAGCCAAAGCAGAGCTTAATGATGTTGAAAAAATTAGGACTCAAACAAAAAATGAAATAGATAATAAAAAATAATAAAAATCTCTAAAGGTAAAATTTTGTATTTATTTTGATTTATTCTATCAATAACATATTTTTTAAAATTATTTATTTAGATTTTGATGGTTGGTAAAGGTGAAATGATAGGAGAAAGCGAGCTTTTCCTATAATAGGAAGGGACATAAAAAAGATATTTTTCAGTTGTTACAGAGAGCTAGGATGCTCTGGTTATAAAAATGCACCATTAAATATTTAAAGATCTGGTTTTGACAGATACAAATACAAAATAAAATATCCTAAATCTGCACCATTAAAGGGTAAAAAATATTTTTAAATTTACACCAAACAATTTTTTTTAAATAAAAAGATGTCATTTGTTGAATAGAAGGTGAAAAATTAAAAATAAAAGCTCAGTTAGTATATGGATTTCTTTTTCTAAAGCTTGCAGGGCTAATAAATGAAGTAAAAAAGCACAGAATTTCTAAAAAATTCTCTGAAAACAATAGACTAGTTAAATAAAGATCAATTTAACAAATTCTTAAAAAAAGCTTATAATAGCCAGTCTCCTCAAAAAAAGTAGCTCTCATATCCCTAAAATCAAAATATATTTCAATCTGATGAAAAGAATAATTAAATATCAATACCTACATTGAATTATATAATTGATGATAAATAAAATAAAATTGTAACTGAGTAGGATTTATTAAAAAGTGCTGAGTTAAATTAAAACTTCTCAACAAAGATGAAAAACTCTACAAAAGAAAGTAAAATCTATGATAGTAAGTCAAACTTAGACACCGAATCTAAATCAAGTAATAGTTTAAAAAATAAAACATTCAAATAATTATACATTTTTAATTGCTTTTATCAAAATATTTTATGAGAAAAGTACTTTATTAAAAAAAATGAAAAGCAGAAAAAAATAAAAAATTTATAAAAGAAAATTTAATTGAAAATTATAACATCAATTTTAAAGATGTCTTAAAATTAAAATGCAAAATCTATTATCTATTTTATATATATTTTTAATATGAAAATGATTGTAATTAATGTTTTTATAAATAAATAGATATTTAGTAAGATACAGTGAAAGTAAATTCAGATAGTGGAATGAAATATTTTAATAGCTTCTTTTATAGATATTTGGATTAAAAATAAAATAATCTTGAAGAACCTTTAATAAGTGTTAAAAAAAGCAGAAGATAGTTTAGCTTGGAGAATTTAAATAAGAATAAATAGAAACTATCTCATTCTCCATAAAAGACTGCTTTTTCTAGATAAAACTCGTTAATTCTATAAAAAATGAATCAAATTTATAATCAGTCAGAAAAATAAACTATTCATTCTACTCTATAATAAACTGACTGTTTACTTAAATCAGAAAATTAAATAATATCATTATGTAATTTGCAAAGAAGATAGTCTCCTGAATCTTCTAGTGATAATAAAAATAAATTCAATTGTAATTTATCTAACTTAAAGGTTGAAGAATATTCTTTGAATAATTACTGTAATAATTCTTCTAGAAAAAACACTTTAGATTCTATTGCCTTAAATTTGGATAACAGATAATCATCTTAAACTAAATTTTCCCCATAATTAAAAAATAGGAAAATCGTTAGTTAATCTTCTCATCTTTAGTTAGAGAAATAAGATTTTATTTCATTAAATGAAGATCATAAAAATAACATATAAACTGAGAGAAGACAGCCTTTAATAACTTTTCAATATAAATCTGACAGTATCAATGAAATTTATCATAAAAATGAAGAAGCTATTGGAATAGAAATTAAAAAAAAATTATAAATACCGAGAAGACTATTTTCTTCTCGAGCTAGTTCTACAATAACAAATTTTAAAAATAATAGCATATCTAATACAAACTCAATTTGCTTAAGAGAATAATCAAATGCAAACTAAAACGAAAATTAAATTATTTTTTTAAATAATTGTGCATCCACAACTTAAAATACAATTGAAGATAAAAATGCTTTAGAGAATGAAAAAAACTCTATAATTAAATAGCTAATTCTACCTTTAGAGACTTAAGGAAAAGATTTAAATTCTGAAGAAACACCTCTTATATATAAATCTACATAACCTTCTACAAAAAATAATCTAAAAGTAATCAGAACCTCTGTGTATAAAAATTTCAATGAAATATTCAATAATCTTCACTATGAAAATGAAAGCTAAGCTTCTTAAAAAGCTGATTAATTAAGAAAATCTTCTATAGAATTTATCTCCTAATAGCCTAGTAAAAATTTATAAACAAATTGTTCAGGAGTTATATATAAGTAAGGGGTTAAGTTAAGTTATTATTAACTAAATTAATAGTAATTTAGTACTAAATCTACAAGATAGTAAAATAATCATAATTCTTAAGCAACCTAATAATCAATTTAAGGTCTTTATCAATTAAATAATTTTGTTAAATCTCCATCTATTCAAACTAAAATTAAAAAAAATATTCATGTAAATAATTCAAAATCTAAAAGCAGCTTTGATGTTTTTGATAAAATTCTTAATTCAAAATTAAATTAGTCTCCAAAAAAGGAAACAAACTAATAAATGTAATAATAATGAATACACAAAATGGTTATACTTAACAATCAATTTTATTGAAATTAATATTAAAATAGTATATTTTATATAGAGATTAGCATATATTTTTATATTAACTAAATTTTTTCAATAAAAAATCTACTTAATTATTCATTCTTTTTAAGTCCAAAGTGCTTTAGACTTTAAAGCATAAATAGAATATTATGAATAATTAATTCTATTTAAGTTTAAAAAATGAGAATTTAGAATATATTTAAAAGATTGAGAGTAATAAAATAGAATATTTCAAAATAATTTAAACATTTAATAAAACTAATTTTAATTAAAAAAATTGATATAATTATATATTTTTTATTAAATTAACCTCTTTGTAACAAATATGATTATTAACAATCAAAAACTGGTAAAATCAAAATTAATAAACTTAATTTTCAAAAAATATTCAATTCATACAAAAAAATAAATAACAATTAAAGAATTTCAACATTTAAAAACATAATTTGTTTATTTTATTTTTAATTTTTATTATATTTTTGTGAGTAAATCGTTAATCATTTTTCGCTAGAAACAAGCAATTTCTCACTTTAGTCAGTCAAATTTTTTTCTTTTTATAATGAATCTGTTTCTAAAGGCTGAGTAAGCTAAGAGGCTTATCCTAATTTAATTTAAATTTTATTTGAATACATTTTTATTGAAATATTAATAGATTTGTTACTATTTTCTTCCTTCATTTGTCTTTCTTTGCTAAATAGACTTAGTTAAGTTTCTGTTCCTTAATTCTTTTTGTCATCAGCTATCGTTTTTAAATCAATCTATAAATTATATTCGTATTTTTAATTTAATTTACATGGGGTATATTTTTCTAATTATTTCTCCTAATCTTAAATTTACTCACTATCTTCTTTCTCAAGATTAAGAAGGTTATTATTTTCTTACTGTAGTTTCTTTATATTTTCTATAAATAAATTATTTTTTAATTTCATTTTCAAAAAATAAAAGTTTACTCTAAATTTGTTTATCTAATTAGAATTAATCATCTTAACTACTACTGCTTAAAAGATTTTGCTTTTAAATATCTGCCTTTTATTAAGGAGTCAAAAACTAACATGAATAATTTGTAATTTGCTCTAAAAATTAAAAAGAAAAATCAATATTAAGAAGCAAAGTAATAAATATTGTTACACTGAATGTTGTTGTTATATTCCTGTATATTTAGATCGCTATCAATTTTTGCTAGCTATTGATTCTCATCATGTTAAGGAGACATTACATTATTTTAAATACTTGCAATTTACTCTATATTTAATTAAAAATTAAAATTAGAAGTTTATAATAAGTTATATTTTTACAAAGCTTAATGCTTTTTGTCATTCTGGTGTAGTAGTTCCAATTATTTCTTGCTGAGCTTAGAGAATCAATTTAATTATTCTGTAAAATTGCAGAATTAGAGTTTACCATATTTTCCATTGGGATCATTATATCTTTTGATATTTTGGTTTCCTTTTATTTAGCATCTTCTTGTATTTACATAATATCGTAAATACTTTTACTTTTTAAAGTCTTAATCAAGCCTTTAATTTTCTTTTACACATTCTTTAGCTTCAGTAAAACAGCTATATTTTTTTAATTTTAAATTACGATATTTTCAAAAATTCTTGGAAATTTTTTCTTCACAAAAAATATAAGTTTTTGAAGATTATTTCTGTCCTCTTTTTCTTATGGAATTACAATTCTTATAATTCCAAAAGCAAGCCTTATAATAAATTAAATATTCAAAAGTGCCACAATAAGCAAAATTATATCTTCAGTAGCTTCCATTTTTGCTGAATAGCTCTATAAAAAGTACAAATTGAGAGTTAGTGCACAAATAAAAGTTGAATGAACTTAATAGTTATTGTATATTTTCCTAGAGTATGGATTAAGTCTGACTAACAAAAAGAAATTTATTATCATGAAAATGTTAACTAAAGCAACCTTAATAAAGATATTAATAATAATAATAAAAGCCATGAATTTTATAAAATATTATTTACCTGCAAAAATGGATTTTACTTTAGAAGTACAAAAACAAGAATCAGAGATGTTTTATAAAATATTTTGTAAAACTCCCAATAAAAGAAAGCATCCTTAAAACCTGCAAAAATGAAAGAATATTAGGTCTTTATTATAATTGAGACTTTTCTCTTATGCATTAGATAAATTTTGATAAATAACGTAATTGGTATTAAGATACCGTAGAAAATTAAAAGAGGTAAAGTAATTGAAAGAGCATAAGGCAAATGATCTTTTGAATCATAACATTTAATGCTTAAGTCTAGATCTAAATAATTTTCACTCCCTATTGAAAAGCAGTTCAATGATCTACTCAAAACAGTAACAATTGAAGTAAAGTAGTAAAAATAGATAAATATTGCAGCAGATCTAAAGAATTTCAAGGTACTTCTTCTTTTAAAGATATAAAGTAAAGTAGCGAATATAAGATAAACTAATATTGTTAGTAGTGGCAGAAAGAATGACCATAATAAATTATAAAACCATATTGGTTTAGCATTAGAATTCTTACCAATAGCGCAATCAATTGATTTACTTATTGAATTCAAAGGATTTCCTGTTATTTAAATAGGTAGAGTGATTGAAAGAGGTATATTGAACATACCACAAACTAAAGAAAGAATTTGCAAGTGATCAGTTAAGATTTTTGAAAATATCTTTGACTTATCAGATTTATCTTTTTTTAAATTAATAACAGAAAAATAAATAAAAAGTATACTAGTTAAATAATTATCTTACAGCTGTTGCCCAAAAATAGCATTCCTGATTTAGTTATGTAGTGACCTACTAGTTTGATGTAAATCTGTTTCTGTAAATTTCTTATCATAAACATGATATATATAATTATTAAAAATAATTTTAATAAATTGTTTGCTATTATTATTGACATGTTATCACTGCATTTTTAGCAAACTCCAGTACCAAAATTCTCAGCATACCTCTCACCCCAAACTTCTCCATAAGTATCACAATTATTGCAAATAATTCCAACATGTCCTCTTTGGCAATAATGCTAATTTTTATTAATTATTTTAATATCCATAGTTTTAATTATTAACTTTGCAAAAAAATTTAACATTTAAAAATAAATAATTGTTATACTATTGACTCAGGATCTTCAGCCTAACATGCATCTGGATTGAAGCTGCAATTTATAATATCATCAGAGAGTTCACTGCTTCTCCAATATCCATTTTTTAAGTATATTTATGAACCTTCACACTTTAATGCAGAATCTGGACAAGGATTACATTAACCATCATTAATATTTAATGAATACTTTCCTTCTAAACACTAGTCACAAATTGTAGATTAAGAAAACTATTTCAAAATTTATCCTACCTGGCATTAGCTGAAATTGATCTAAACATTAAATTCCAATAATCCTTGACTAATATAAATGTTGCCTTTTGAATCAGCTAGTTAGGGTTATATATTTGAAACAATTCGAAATTGCATATTACTTAGGGGTTTGTATATCAATTGGGTTGTTAATGTAAATCCGCCATTAGAAAAATCATTAGATTTTAATTCACCCAAACATTAGATTTGTAAATTGCTTTAATCACAAATGACTTAAACATAAATTTAGTTAATTATTTTTATAACATCATTACTTATTTTCTTCTAACTTGAAATTGAAGGAATATAAATAGGGTTATTCTCTTCATCCAAAATGTTAATATTATGAAAAATAATTTACTAACCACTTTAAATATTTGAAACAATAAGATTTTCATTTTAAAGCACTATTGAGGTGGTATTAGGAGCAGATATACCTTATAGATCTACTTGAATTTTCCTTAAAGTTGATCCAATATTTTTTCCAAATATATCTGCATAGTTATTGTTAATAATGTTGTTATTGTTGATTTTATTTTGTGATTACAACACAAAATCAGGGATAACCAACTAATAAAATATTGCTCCTCCTATTTGAGCTTTATTTGAAGAAAGCTAAGAATTTTACATTTATACATTAATATTATTTATGTTAATAGCACCTCCTGTGGATATTGGTGCTTAGTTTTACATAAATTAAGCATAGTTAGCTATTATTTAACCTTAATATAATGTATTGACGAAATTTATAGCTCCTCCATTTTATTTTGAACAAATATTTTATGAAAAAATTACTTAATTAAGCTTAAGAGTTAAGCTTTCAGTAATTGATATTGCTCCTCCTATTCCTTAATAATTTATGTTGCTTGTAAAATTGCTACTGTTAATAGTAACTTAATTACTTTAACTAATCTATAGTAAAGAAGAGTAAGTATTTCCTGAGATGGTATTATCTTTCATGATTACAAAAATAAAATCCATCTAAACCACATTTTGCAAACTAATTAGAGGATTGTCTCCAGTCATTATATTATTTAAAAATTGAGAAGATATTAATTAAGCTTACCCTTTGTCTTTTTGCTATTTTACACATATCATTTATATCTAATTATAGCTTGAGGTAAAATTTTGTATGTGCAAATCAATTATGCTTATCACATTTATTGCAAATATGTTATTTTGATTTGTTTAAGACTACTGAATTATAGTATTATTTAATAAGAATTAAGAGGCTGCAATATTAAATATATTCTTTTGGTTGTTAATTATTTAATTCAAAGTCAAATTTTGAATTTAAACTGTATCTACAGATGAATCAAATGAAATATCAGTTGAATTATTAATAATAACATTACTTAATTAGTAGGACTGGCAATTATAAGTGATTGAATTCAGGACTAGTTCTTAAATATCAACTACACTTAAAGAAGTACTATTTTTTAATGTAATTTATTAAATTATTGTAGTTTAAGCACCAAATATATTTAAGATTTTTGAGTTACTAACTGAAATTAGTTAAATATTTTCAACATTCATATTTTTATTTTACTAAATCTAAATTAAGTTTATTCCTTAAGATTGCTATACATCCACAGACTAAATTTGCAAGTCTTAAACATTGCTTAGAGAAAAAACTGTAAGATTACTTAAACCAAAGACATTTAACTTTTTTATAACTACAGTGTTAACATTCGAAATTTTAATCAGTACATTTTAAAGAGTGCTTATCTTGTTCAAAGTTAATTATTCGATAAATAGTTAATTACAATTACTAATAGTAATCGATTAAAATGCTTATGTATTTGGTATAATCAGGTTTATATTTTGAAGATAAACACTGATAAAGTTTGTTAATACCAAACTTTAAGTAACATTTAGAGTCACACTTGAAATCTATAATGTTTTCATATAGCCTTAAGTATTAAGATTTAATGCATTAACATTCAATTGCATTTGATATATTTATATTTTTTATATCTATTAAGAATAAATGCTACCATCTTACCAATAAATCTAATTCATAGTAGATTTAGACTCCATTCTCAAAGTTAGATTGGCATTTATTTGAGAAGAATTGAAATAATTTGATTATATGCTTCCAATCTATTGCTAGTCCATATAAACTATTTCTATGAGCTACAATTTTGAATTTTAAATATTCTATAAATTCTATATTGTTTGATCAATAACAACTGCTGAGTAAGTGCTCTCTAAGCTGCGATTTTGCTGCTCTATAAAAATGTTGCAATTTTACTAGTTATCAGTTAAAGGAAAAACTAGATTTTAAATATTATTTTTTGATGAAACTATAAAATTTAATGTTTGTTAGCCATTAGTACTCTTTTAAAGCTGAAGAACTTACAACTCTTGATACAGTCCATTATTTTCAAAGTATACTTTGTAAGTAGAATTTTAAAATATCTACACAAGATCAACTTTACTCTTCTAAAAAATGAGGAAATAGTTATTGAACTACACATTAACAATGTTATATGCTTCTTATAATCCTGAATTTATTACAAGGTATTATTAAAGGCTTAATCCATTATAAATTATAATATTTAGAGGGCATACTGAGTAAATAAAATTGGAATCAAACGAAATTATAGCTTGCTTAAGACATGAGTTTTGTAAAATTCCTATATTTCCCAAAAATTAATTGTAAACATTAGTCACTCCCTTATTAGTAACTACATAGATCATTTTTCTGAAAGGATCATTAACTATATTAGTTATTATTGTATTTTTTAACAACAAATTATTTTGTGTTTACATTGTTTATAAATTAACTAGAACGAGAGAAGAATCTAAAGAACTTTAATAAACAACACATAAGAAATTTGTTTGTTGATTTTACGAAGAATCGAAGTCATTACTATTATATCTTTCTTCATATTCGAAGGGAATTTTCCACCAATAATTAGCTTAAATTTATTTAGATTGAAGCTTAAACACAAATTAAATCTTGATACCTGAAGATATATTAATTTTGGCTATTGAGTTACTTTTGATACTGTAAACTGATATTATATTTACAGAAGGAAGTATTACATAATCTCCACATATGAAAGCTAATGATGTGATACCTTCAGTGAATTTAATGAGGTTAACTTCTTATTATTATGTCTATTACTATTATAAACTTATAGATGTTAATTAGTAAATTTATTTATATAAAATAAGAAGCTAAAATCTGGGTTGATCAAAAAAGAAGTTATCTGGTGAACCCTACAGAGGAATAGGTTGATTAGAGGATAGTTTTTGAGTTTGTAAATTAACCTAGATGATATAGAGCTGAGTGAAGTAAACATATATGAATTAGTTTTAACCAATTAAAACTAATTGAGTAAAGTAAGGGTAAACTTAATGCTAAAATGGCTAAAATAATAAGTTGTCCACTACCATTTCTTTGTTAAGAAGATTAATAGAGTAATTTTATTCACTATAATATATCTAATATTAATCATTAAGTACTATGTTTTAAATATTCTAATACTACTTTAAGTTGACTTCGCTGGTATAAAGTACCTCAACTAGATCAAAGCAAACTAAAGCAGACTAAGTTATTGCAGTCAGAATGTGGAGTTATGTATTAAAAAATATGTTTTAAATAGGAGATTGACCATATTATGATAAAGAAAAAGTTTCAATAAAATCCATAGTAGGAAATCTGTAAATGTATATTAATTGATCTGAGTATAAAAAGGTCATATTTTAGCTCTCTTCGACAAGCAACCCCTTAATATTGTTAGCGCTAACTTAGAAATAAGTTACATTGTTACTCAAGTAGTTGATAAGATAAAAATTTTGTGATTAGTCAAATACAATAAAAGTTTAGCAATTAGAATAAAAATATGTTAAGTCTGGTGTAAATATATTTTAGGTATAGTAATCAAATGTCTATAAATATTTAGGGAATTTTCTTATAGAAATCATGTGTCTTTTTGATCCCGTGACTGCTAAAATTACGTTGTAATTAATATCATTAAATAATTAAGATTAGCCTAACTAACATTCCAGAATATTAGGGTAAAGGACACTAGTACTTAAGTCGTTTGGAAAAGGAAATGAGTTATCCTATACAAATTGGAATATTGAAGTAGGGTAAATAATAATAAATTATTATTATTATTTATATACTAAAGGATTAGCACATATTTTTTAGCCAAAAATAAAATTTTAAGCCTATTATTTATAAAAAATATAATTTAAAAATTATTTGAGTAGGAAACTAAGTTATGGGGGTTTAAATTTTACCAGTTTTAAAAGTGAACTGAAAAAAAGAGAATATTCTTATATATATTTTAATAAAAACTAGATTAAAATATCTGAATATCAAGATTCAAATATTAAATTATAAGTAGACAGAAATTATAAAAATAAAATAAAAAATATTCTAAAGCATATCTTAGTAGTAAATATGTACTTTTAAATTTATATTTTTTTAAATTTGTTATTTTATAACTTGATATCAAATTAAGAATTTAAAAAATCAAGTATTAACATGGAAATTGCGTTGAAACTAAATATTTTTTTTAAGTTCAGAAAATATTATTTATGTGCTTTAAAGAATGTTTGATAAATTAAAGCATTTAAGGAACTAAGAAAAAAATTAAAGAGTTTTTGAAGAAAACAAAATATTTTTTTTGATTGAAAAATAATCAGAATAAATTTTTAGCACTTAATATTAAAAAAATATTTTTTGTTTTTAATATATTTAAATCAATTTTCTAAATAAATTTACAAAAAAATCAAACGAAGGCATTCCCGTGATAAGGTCGAATATGTAAAAGCAAGGTTGCTCTAAAATAATCAAACTCTAATCACAATCTAAAGTAAAACTTATTGGATTAGTCAATTAATTAAAGTATTTTAATTTAAATAAAAAATCTGTCAATGTAACTTAAGTGTTATCTTATAGCTATTTAAATAAAATAATTTTTAGAAGTGTATTTATATTCTTTTTAAATATGATTGATTTACGTTTATCTTAATAACATCAGTTTTGGTCTGAGCTACTAATATCTATTGTTAAGGACAAACATCATAATATTCTATATTTTATTATAGATTAAAGGGGTTTTAAAGTGACTAAGAAGTCGAAGAGTTGTACTGATTGAGAATATTACCTTAGACATAAATAAAAATTCCTTATTACCAATCCAAAAACTTAATATTTAAGGTAAAAGAAATGCTGAAATTTATTTAAGTAGCTTCTGAATTATATTTTTAAATATCATAAATAGAGATAATCTTTTGACTACTATCGTAAACTGCAACTAAAAATTTATTGTTTTTAATATTTTAATCAAGCAAAATCTAATTAGAATTCATGCTAATAGCATTATAAGGGAAGTTGTACAAATTTTTATGCCAGTTAAGACCCTATTCTGATTAAAAAAAGTAAGCCTAAGTATCTCCAAATTTTGCCTATCCAATATAAATATTAATTTCTGACTATCTTTTAGAAATAATCATATTTTTGGTGTCAATAATATTTTTCTCCTTTTTTATGTATTGGGTAGTATCTAAAATTCCATTTATATAATTACTTCTACTATTTGATTGAAGCTATTGTAATACTTTTAATTGCATATCTAACTTATAAAGACTGTAGTTATTCTAAAAGTATACGTTTCTAGTGTCTTAGCTAAGGTAAGTAAAATAAAAACCATCTTAAAATGTGCTACTATACTATAAATTAGTTGTATAAATATATATTTTTCCTTGATCAAAAATAAATAATTCATTTAATGGGTCATAAATAGAAAAGAAAGCTTGATTTGAAATTTATAAAATTATTGGTGACTAAATAGTAGTTTTCTAGCTTATAGAAAAAATTAAGCATAAATTCTAGTTAACCAGGTAAATTAAATCATTATTAGATATTAAAGGGTGTCTGCTCTACTAATCGATATACAAAAAATCTATAAATGTTATTTATTAAGAGAGTGTAATTAAACTACCACTACTTAAATCTACCTAAATCAATTACATATTTGAATAGTAGATTAAAAAAGTTTCATCACTTAAAATTATAAATTTATCAATAGGTTGGCTAGATAAATCTATAAATACTTTATTTTATTCAGTTAAATCTATAATTTGATAAATTTCATACACAAATAAGAGATTTTTAGATTGAATGTAATATATATTGGTATTTTATTATTATTAAATATCAACTGACCCGCAGTTATATGCATATATTTGTTATCCTGAGGATAAGTCGATTATTTATTCTTAGACTCCATTAGATATATCAGTCGTAAGAATTATGTATTAATTTCCTATAAAACGAGTAAAAGAATATTTTCCATCATTTTGGCTTAACTGCAATTTATGGCTTTTGGTTAATATCTTTGATTTCTTTTATAAATTTTGTAGAGAAATAGCTAAATCATACTAATAAATATTAATTGCTGGTAATTTAAGTTGATTTGCTTAATCTATGGAATAAAGAGAGTAACTATTTGAAGATTTGTCTATGTAGAGCATCATTTAATTTAATGTTACTGCATAGTTAGGCAAAGGCAGTGAATAATAACCACTCTTGTAGAAGTTTTACATTTAAAATGAGTCGATGTAACTGATTTTAAAAGAAAGATTGTTCATGTTGTATTGAATTTTTACAAGTTGTTAAAAGTACAAGTTGTTGTCTTTTAATTGTGAAAAGAAAAGATTGACTATGTTATTTGATTAGAATGTCATATTAACCAAGGTAGAAGTAGATTAAATGAAGCTTAAGTCAACAGGAATGAGATTTTAACTAATATCTAATTATTACTTCCCTTACTAATACTAGTAAATAAAATCTGTGATATTTGCAAAGAAGAAGTTTCCATTACTCAAAAAAACAAAAAAACTATTTAAAGAGACATTTTCAAATGTCTAAACCAAGGTGAATTATTAAGTAAGAATTACTGAATTTATAAGTTATTTCCCTGATTAATCAAATTAGGTTAATTGTAAAGTATTTAAAGTTGTGTCATATTAAAGAGCCAAAATGAGACTTTAACTTAAGAATGTGTTATCTTTACACTAGCATGGAATAGAGAGAACTTGTTAACCAGTTTGAGGTACGTTATCTTAAATGTTAACAATCAAGAAATTATTATTATTGGTTTCACTATCATAGTACACTTATAATATTAAGTTATTTCCTATTTAAATAAATGATAGAGGAAAATAAGATTAGTCATAGTCGAATTATTTGAATGCGATTGATCTATCTTTTTAAAGTGCTCCCACCTTATTTCAATTGAAAAAAAATATTGAAATTAAAGATTTACGAAAAGGGGTTTTATTAAAATGAATATTTTTTTTAATTTGTCATACAACTTTTGAATTGTTATTAATATAAAGAAAATAAGTGTGGAAAATTAGTATCAGAGGTATAAATAATTTTGAAAAAAAATAATTGAGACAAATACATCTTTCTTTAAATTTCTTATTCTTTGATTATAAAATCTATCAAAATGCTATGGTTGGTTATTCAATTAAAATAGTTTTTTGTAAATAAAAATATTGAAGTAGAATTTGTATATTTTTTATAAATATATAAAAAAAATATTTACTTGATATTAATTATTATAGAAGATGAAATACCTGCCTTGCATAAGACTAGCTATATTGAAGCCTATACCTAATCCTAAATTTATAGAATGGATTTATTTGGAAACTATGTCGTAATACACTAAATTATATTCATATAAAATATTTTATAAAAACACAATTTAATTTTCATCATCTACTTTCCAGATAATATAATCAGAATTTATATTTTAATCAAACTCAATCTAAAGCGTAGAGAAGTTCATTACAGTAAATCTGTTTCCAGCTGAGCAACCTCCGTATAAACCAGATATAAAACTAATAGCTTCACTTTCATTTTCCTTAAATCCATAAAGCGAATCAAAATTATCTATTGATTAAAGCACTTTTGAGAATATTATATTTGAATTTTCATCAACAAGGCCTATATTACATGCTCTTGCTCTAACTATAAACTATTTTTAATTAATAGATTAAATCTATAGAATCTACTAATTAAACTATTAACTTGATTTGCTCTAAACTTGAATGCACTACAGAGTTTATTCGCAAATCTGTGAGTTATAGTTGGAGTATTATTACTGTGGGCATGTTTAAACACATTAAGCAGCAAGATAAGGGTTTTGAATAAACTAGGTGTTTGATTCACATACTTGTTTATTTAAAATGCATAAATTTTAATTTTAATCAAGATAGAAATTAGTATCGCACTGTTAACATACCTATAGAGCATTGCAACTAATACAACCAGGAACTGAGCACTTGACACAAGTATTTTAGTTCTCTATTAATATGCTTATTTCATTATTTTTGCATGTTTATACACAACTATTTTTAAAATCAGAACTTCTAAAAGTGTTCTATGGGCATGTAATACAAGATTTATCGTCAATATTGAAGCAGCTCTAACAAGAATCAGAACACTATAAGCAAGAATTCGTGAGTGCATCAAATATCTACTGATCTGGACACTAATTGCATAGATATTCCTTTATTATTAATCCTACTAAGACAAGTTATATAAACATAAATTTCATTTAAAATATAATTTAAAATAAATCTTATCTTTTGTTGAGTTTTAAAAATCAATTTTTAATTAATAATTATAATTTTAGAAAATTAGGTAATTCATTTAAATGTTTATTTCTGATATTATTAACTAATACAAATCAGTCAATTAACAAAAATACTATAATATTTCAGTCATAAATTTAGAATGTTTTAGTTTACATTATTATTTTTATTTACTAATATTAGATAATATTAAAGATTTAAATTATTAAAATTACTCTGAAACATCTTCTAAATAAATTTAAAATTGATTTTTAAATAAAATCTACTTCCAAAAATAAAAAATTATCTATTTATTTTCTTCTTTAAAGTAAGTATGTTTCACTAACAAAATTAATAAATATAAAAAAGAGCTTATTTGTTTGTATATTTTTAAATGATATATATTTAACTAAAAGAAATATATAAAAATAATAAAATAAAATCTTATAAATATTAATTGATAGATTGATTTAATTAATTGTAACAAAGTATGTTTTATAAAAGAATGGCGATAAAACTTAAATTAACTTTATTATTATTTTTCTAGTTGTAGAAAAATAAAGCTGTGATTCTGAATTATTAAAAAGTCAATGTTTCCAGAATAATTAATTTTTTTTTAGTTTATCTCAAATTATTTAATTTTGTTCTCAACTTAAAACTTTTGTTTTTAGTGAAAATAAAATGTTACAATTATTTTAATTGTTATTTTTTTATACAGTATTTAAAATTTCTTCTTATATTTTTATTTTTCAAATAGAATTTTAATCCTGTATTCTTTTTAGATTTATTTTTAATTGAGTCATTTAAAAAATATAAGCACATCATAGATTTAGAAAAGAGAAAGTTAAATTACAAATAATTGAAGTATTAATATTTAGTTAATAAAATTAAGAGCAGTATTTTTTATAAAATAAATCTAAAATAAAAATGATTTACAAATATTTTTTGATTTTGCTTCAAAATATTTTTTAAAAACTAAACTTTAAAATTCATCAAGTTTTTTTCACTATTTAGAAAAATAAAAAAGTATTTTTCTGATTGATATAATTTGTTTATTTTAAATGAAATAAGTATTCTCTAAAGATATTTTTTTCTTATGTAATACCAAAATTCAAATTAATTTACAACCAAATTAAGTAATAATTTGAATCTGAAAAAAAGATAGAGACCACAATGATCTTAATTTAATGTAAATAATTATTATAAGAAGATATCTAAAAAATATAAATTCCTTTTAAAATCTTCATAAATGTTAATAAGATAGAAAATTAACTTACAATCAAAAAATATAATTTTATTCAAGGTTTTTAAAATTTAGATTACATGCTAAAATTACTCAAAGAAAGAAGTATGTAACTAAATCTCATAATAAAAAAATAAAAAGATAAATAATTGAAGCTATATTTAGAATAACTGAATTACGCATACTTTTTTCAATAATTTTTAAAAAATATGAGAGAATAGATTTATTTTTTTTAAATAATTATAATTTTAGATTATTTTATTTTTTAAAATAATGGCTTACTTCTATTATAATTTACCTATTATTTTTCACAAAGCATAATATTTTTTTCTATTTATTTAGAACTCATGTAATTTTCTTTTTATCATTTAAAATATTTAAATAACTAAGAGTTTTTTTCTTATCACTTACCTCATTTACATACCATCAATTTTAATCAAAAAGTAGATATTTTTATTTCCATTATTTCCAAATTAATTGATTGTATTAAAAAAAGATAAATCTTAATTCAACGATCAAATCTGATTCTTAAACCAAAAATTAATCATATGATATCAATAAAGAAAATATATAAAGTATTTTTTTTAACTTATATCATCATCAAAGTTGAGATCTATTGAAACCTTAGCAAAATTGATAAAATTTAATAAATTTAAAAATAGATTTATCAAATAATAGTTAAAAAATGATTTTTCTCACTTATTTTAAAATTTTTTAGCTGATAAAGTTTTTCTTTATTTAAAATTTTATAATTCCTTCATATTAAATAATTCAATGTGAAAATAAATACATTTATTTGCTATTAATTTTGAAATTTTTAAAATAGCTAAAATATTTATTCTTTAGCTTAAAAAATAATTAAATTGAAGAAGGAGCTAGAAATTGAGAGGATGATCATAGTAATATTTATAACTTATAACATTATTTTTGACAAAATTTAAGATATATTTAATATCCTTTAAGACTATAGAGATATCTGGATCAACAATAAAATTAAAGCCTTAGGTATTATTTTTTAAAGATTAAGATAATATTTTGCAATAATCAAATTATCAAATAACATATTTATGATTAAATTTAAAATGCTTATTTTTAACTAATTTATTATTAAAAAAATAATTAATTTGGAAATAAAATTAATTAATTCAACTATCTTCATATTTTTGATTTGATAAAAAATAGCAATAAAATAAATTATTTTTTTAATTTTATTAATGAAATTGAAAACTTCATAAAAATAATAAAAATGTAATTTTTTTCTTTCTATTTTAAATAAAAATAAGTCTGTCTAAATTTTTTTAAAGAAACCTTTCTATAAATCATACAAATAATATGCTAAAATGATTATCATCTAGATAAATAAATCTCTGAAATATTCTTTATTTTTTTAATTGAGAAAAAGTATTTAAAAATATTTATTAATGAAACTAGTTTTGTAATAAAGTTTAACTTAAATCAATTTAAAATGAAAGGTTATTGTAAATATAAAGTAAATTTTCTATTAAATATGTCTTCATTTATTTGTTTTAAAGTAGTTTATCGAGAGAATTTTTGAATTCATAACGTTAATAAAATTTAATCTTATTAGTAAATACATTTAAAACAAAATAAGCTTTATATATTAACAGTGGGTCATATTTAACTTTCTGGTGGCTAGTTAATTGATGATAATTTAATAGATTAATTATTTATGAAATAAAATATTATATTGTGATCTTAACTTCATCAAAATAATAATAAAAGATATTATTGCTTTTCAATTAGATTTAGAAGGAGGAGTATACTTAGGAATCTTGCTTAAAACGGATTCAGCAGCAACTAAAGCCTTATCTAATTATTTAAGATATAAACTAAATCATGTAAAAATTATTAAATTAAAGTCATACCTAAGAGTCCCTTAGATAATCCGCAAACATCCATTCCCAACTTGAAAGAAACAAATCCAAAAGCTAATAATCCATTGACAACTAATATTAATATCATAAAAAAAATTAAATAAATAAATTAATTAATTATTTATCAATATTTTTTGTTTGATTCATATCTAAATTATGCTTTTTTACCTAACCAAGTCAAGCTAATGATGCTGAAGCAGCTAACTAATTTAGCCAACAAGTAAAGACCGCCGATTAACTAATTTATAAAAAAAGTATAATTTTTATTATGATTTGAATATTTTATGTAATTTAAAATGCTGCTTTTATGAATTCAATAAGGAGAAATTTATACAAAATATAAAAATTATTTGATTTGCTTACTTTAACTTGAGATAAGATTGATTAGTGAACTTGCTTGAAGTAACCTTAAATGCAGTTATTCCAATTAACAAAGGTAATAATAAGTCCTTGGACAGTTTCTTCGCTAACATAAACATATTGGGTGTCTTCCTTAGGATCTCTGTTAAATTTAAATAAATTATGTTTATTATTACTTCAATAGAAATATAATATTAAATTAGTCTATTAAAAATTTACTCAGCCTTAAGGATGAACTTCAAAACTGCAAGATAGACAATTGTGATAACAGTTGAAACGAGGACAAAGTTAGTTAAAACATAAACGAGTCCAAGATTGTTATATAAAACTGTTAATAATAAGGCATTGAAAGCAAATGCGAAGATGCCTGATTTTACGACATCGTTCCATCTGAAAATCTCTGGTAATCCTATTTGATTAATAGATAAAATATTTAAAATAATCTTTTATGCTAAATTATTTTTTATGGTTAGACTGCTAAAGTTTGGAAATATTTAAACTAAAAAACAAGCTAGCTCGCTAAAAGAATAAATTTATTTAAAAATTGTTTTATATGCTAAATTAAAAACTAACCTTGACAACAACTTGACATTTTTCTTATTTATTTATTTTTAATGATTTCTTTTAAATACTTATTTATATTTATTCAATTTAATTATTTATTTCAATATTAATTAATATATTTATTTTTTTGAGTTTTTGATTTTTTAAATGATTCATTCATTCATTTACTTTTTTCTTCTTTCCTTATCTTAGTTTTACTTAATCATCTACTTGCAAACATTTTTCAATTCATTAAATAGCTAGATCTTTTTCTCTTCATTTTTTCTTTATATTTTAATTAACATTAATCACTTTTATTATAAACGTCATCTGATACAATACCAAGCACATCTACCTATTTTTCTTCTCCTTTTTCAAAAAATTGTATCTTGACTTTATTAATTTTTAATCATATTCGAAAAATCTTCAACTAAATTTTGAACAAAAAACTCAAATTTTTGATGTCCATCTTAATCAAAAATTTTAAGATAATTAGACCATTTCATTAATAAAGCTTATATAATACAAATATAAGTCGCTGTTTTATAAATTTCAAAGTCTTTGCTAAAAAAGTCAAATTTTAATTCTTTAAGAATTAATATAGAATTTTATTACATTTTTTGCAAAAATTATTTTAAACATAATTTAAATTTTTAAATAAAATTACAATAAATTATTTAATGTTTATTATTTTAGTGATATTAGAAATAATATAATTTTTTATAAAATAAAATTAATTACTTTGAAACAAAAGATTATTTAAAAAATTATATTAATCAAAAGTAACAAAATTCAAATTTAATTTAAAGAGAAATATTTATTTTATTGAATAAAATAAAACTTTAAAAAATATAAATTTAACATTTTTTCAATTTACTTTCCTACATTTTTAATCTGTGTTTTTAATAATTCACAATTTAAATATTCTAGCTAATATTTTTTTAAAAGTTTTATCTTTTTGAATATAGATTTGTACTATTCTTTTTTATTTTAGTAAAATAAATTTAATAATTAGAAAATCTTTGAATTATTTTTTATTTATTTTAATAATAAAATTTTAATCTGAAATATAAATTTATAATTATTATTTATTGTAAATAGAAATCATATATTTAATCATTTAATATCAACAAAAATTTTTTAATTCTTATATTATTATGCTGGAATTCTACAAATTTAAGCAAATGTGTTCAATTTTGCGATACCATTTAAATAAAAATAACTATGAATTAACAACATACATAAAGTAGAGTTTTGAGGAATTCCAATTTATTTTATAAAATTTTTACTTATAAAAAGATATAAACCAGCTTGATTAGGTTATATATTTTATATTATTAATTTTTATTTAATGGTTTTCAAAAGTTGATCAGTAAAATGGTGTTATTTATAATAAATAAAATTTTAATAATTATTCTAATTAATATTTATGAATATATTAAAAATCTATATTTAAAGTGGGTTTTTGTCCTAGTTTCAGTTGATAATATTTATTTACAAAAAATTAAAAAAGTAATTAAATAAATAGATTAAAAGCTAATCATCTACTAATCACTCAACACTCTAAAATCAAAGGATATAAAAATGAGTACTACATAATCCGATAGCTACTAATATGTAATAATATATTCTCAATTACTTAAAGAGAAGAATTTCATCATTAATATTTTCATATTTACTAAAATAGAGGCAGTTTAATTCATCTAGAAGGTCTCAATCAAGAACCCTTTCAACATCTTCATGGTAACTACTTTTTAATGATTATTTAAATCAAATTTATTTAATTATCATTTATAAAAGGAGATCTGTCTCTTCATCTAGAACTATGGACTCTGTTAAGCTTGCTATAAAGAATTCACAAGTAAAATCATCTAAAATTCATTTAAATTTTAATGAAGCTAATCACAATTTTTAAAAGATAAACTCAGAAGTAAAGTAGAAATTAAAAAGCATCTATAAAGATTACGAATTAGGCAAATTATCAAGATAGGAAATGAAAGACATTATCTAAAAAGGTATTCTATTTTATAATCTTCATTATTATTTAATTTAATGATTTTTATTGATAGATTTAAACTTGGAGACAAATTCTACCTTCGAGAAAAGCATTAAGAGTGTTAATATGAATTACACTTCTTTGATAAGAGGTATTGATAAAAAGGAAGTCAACTCAATTACTAATTTCAAGCCAAATACTAAAGACGAGTAACTATCAAAGCAATTTATAAAAACCGTCTCCCTTAATCTTTACAAAACTTAAAGAATACCTTTCTAGAAAAACACTGAACAAAGTTTTAATTACTTCATTTAAAAGCGTTTATTTATTTATTTATTTTTTCAATTTTAATTAGTTCCTAAACCTGATGTTTTTGGTGAAGATACTTGGCTCCACAAACAAATTAAAGAAGAAAGAATTCCCAACTAAAACCTCTTCTTACCATAAAAACTATTAAATGAATAAGAAAAAGAGTCACTTTAAGTACAAAGGGAACTAAGACTAGTTACTAACAGCTACCAATCGCGTAATAATGTAATCTATAAAGTTAAAGGTCCTGCACCATGCGAAACTAAGGCTATTTTGTAAGTATTTAAAAATGAATAATAATTCTAATATACTTTATTTAATAAAAGAAATAACGGTGATATAGTTGGTTTAAAAGCTGAAACCTAACTTTAGAGCAGTAAAAATATTAATGTCAGCCAATCTTCTCTGCCAGAACAAAGAGTTTCTAGATTAAAAAAATATGAAGGTAAAATTTTAAATACTGAATGCAACTAAGAAAATTAGTGGAGTGCTCCCATCAATAAGAAGGTGACACAATTAAAGTAATTTAATTTAATTTAAGAATAGCAAAAATCTAACTTATTATTTATTATTTTTGAATAGAAATTCTGAATATAACTTTTTGGACCAAGAGAATATGCTTATGTTCAAAACATATGCAGCTGGAGATACAAAAAGATCCAAAGACTTTGGAAATTTGAAGCAACTTTAGTAACTTAGTTATTTTATTTTATTTAAAATTAATTTTACCAAAAATAAATAAAAGGACTTCTTCTAAAAACATAATTTCTTGGAACTGAAAGCACATTTTAGATCATGCATGAATGGAAAAAAAAAATAGACTTGTGAATAAAAATAAAACTCATTCAATGAGATATAAAAATAATAATTATTATAATAAAAACAATAAAATTTAATAAAATATAAAATCATTTATTTGTAAATTAATTACTTATTTATTTATTTTTCTTTGTATTCAAATAAATTTGGATTAATTAATAGGTTCTAATACTGATTAAAAAACTTTTTTTTTAACAAAATAAATTTTGTGTTAAATTAATATTTTTTTTTGATAGATAAACTCTATATTAAACATTTAATAATAATTCTTTGATTCATATTTTTTAATTATTTTCTAAATAGAAAGTTTAGATCTACCTATTTTTTTCTAATCTTAAAACTAAAAATAATTCAATGTTTAGCTTTGACCAAAATAATTTTTAAAATATAATTATTGAAAATAAATAAATAAATGCTAATTATTTTACTAATTTCATAAAAATCCTAATTAATTCAAATTCAAATTCAAAAATTTTTGATATTAAAGCGAATAAGAAAGATAATATTACTTTGCTTAAAATATAATTATGGTATTTTTAAAAGTTTTAATTTTAATAAAAAAATAACATTTTATTTTAAAATAGGGTACACATACTATTAATGGATTATAATTTTTATAAAATAATAATCAGAGCTTTAAAGATATTTAGAAATATTTAAGTTGAATAAAATCGGGTGGTGTTAAATAAAAGCTTACACTATTCTGTTTAATATTTTTGTATTTTTAAATCTAATTTTTTATGGTAAAAAAAAGATTATTTAATTATGAATAAATAAATAAGATAAGAGTTATTTCATGAGTTAGAAAGATATTTTAATTGAAAAAAATACAAAGTGATTTAGATCCACATAAAAATTACATTTATTTCTTTAGGATAAGTGAATAAAGAATATAAATCAATTAAGATGAGGTTTTTGATATATATTGACATTATTATAAAGCTTAATTTATTAGGATCATAAATATCCATAAATAAACTCTTTTTTTTTAAGATTAACTTTTTGTGACTTAATATATTAGCCTAAAATGTTAAACAATACATTTTTTATGAAGACTAACAGGAATTTAAGATTTATTTTTATAAAGATTTCATTTGAAGAAATTTAATTGCAATATCAAAAGTAAAGTTTTTGAAACAATATTTAGGATAAAATAATAAATTGTTATCTTATTTTGTAATGGTCTTAAGCATATTGACAATAATTTTGATTTTGATTTAAAGCTAATATTCTGATGGATAGAAATGCCCTTAAACAAATATCCAAACGAGTAAGCAAACAAATAAAGAAATAAAATATAATTCAATCATTTTAATCTTTAAAATAGTTGTTGGATTTTATGGATATTATGTCTTCAATAATTACTTGAAACTACCAAAAACTAACATTCTCATAGCTATTAGTGTTTAGTATAGCGGAACATAAATTGCTCATACCACATTATATTTAGATGATATATCAACAACCTAAGATAATGTTTTGGATATAGTTAAAAGTAAATTTTTGTAAAAATATTATTTTTGGATAAAAATTACTGATTAATATAAAAGCTGAATATCAAATACTCCAATTAGATTATATAGAACCTTTTAAAAAAATTATAGCCTCTAACTAATCATAGATTTTGATTATTGATCCCTATAGTGTAAAACCAATAAAATAAATTGATTTTTCTTAAGTTATTGGCATGACTTATATCAAAGATTTTGGTTTAATTTTTATGTGTGGTGGTGTCTGCGAATGTTTTGTTGTTGAAATTAATTATTTTCAAGTTATATTTAGATTTAACAACTGTTAGTATGACTCTAATCCTTTTATTACCTATACATTTTCCAAAGCCTATAAGTAAAATAACGGTGTAGTTGTTTTGGTAGTTTAAGATCCTAAAGGTTTATGCACATGGTCTTTTCAATATAGTACAGGTATTTATCAATATAATTACCATTTTTAATTAGGTAAATTCATTAATTTTTAAAGCTAAATTGTTAAAATAAATATATATTTAAAAACTTTTAGCAGATGGATTTTTAAATTCATCACATAATTATGACTCGCATGATCAATATGATATCATATTTCTTGCAGGAAATAACGGTCTAGTGTAAATATATCAAATATGTCACTTTTGCAGCAATCAGCCTTATTAACAATTATTTAACAATAGTAAAATTATTTATTAACTAAAAAATAAAAAACCAATTTTATAAAAAAGCTTTAATTAACTCCAGTAAATAGTTTTATCATATCAAATTTATAAGAGTTTATATATCTGGTTAAGAATAATAAAGTATTTTCATATCAGATTTATACATCTTATATAGGCTAGATTTTTAAGTCATCACTACTCCAAACACAAACTAAGTTTAATCTTTGAACTTTTTAAACTTGTAAAACCCTTTTTAAGTTTAATTGGTAGGTAAATAAATCTATTATGCTTTTATGTACCATATGGTAGAAAATTAGTAGCTTATAATTCCTGTATAAGATTTTTATGATAACTAAAAATCTTTTACGTTTGCTTATAACTATAATACAAATACTGGTCAGATTCGTCTTTGTAAATTTATTTGATTTCTATTTCAAAAAATTAAATTATTTGATAACTAGCTTTGATGAAAATTATCCTAAATTATACTCCAAAGAGTTAGATGAGATAAAAAATTGACCAAAAAAAATTTTTAAATTAAGTTTTCAATTAAACTAATTGGTCAAGACTTATCCATACATCTATTTAATTCTTCTCTCTTCTGCATTATCAAAAAACTAACTAACTCATTTCTTTTATTAAATTAATTTCATATTTTTGTACTTTTTAAAGAAAATTTATGATTTTTTATATTAAAATTAGATTATAAAACTAATGGATTCACAAAACAGTATAGAATCTAGCTATAATAAAACTATTATTTTGTTTCAATGTTTGACAACTTAATAATAATTACTTAAGATAGTATATAAGGGAAAATAATCTAATAATTTAATATAATAAATTCACCATATGTTGGTAATAGTTTTATTTCTGTTTACAATAACCCTCTTTGCTATATCATTATATAGGTAGGAAATTATATAAAGCTATATAAAACATCACTTGACAATTAAAATACATTTGGCCATGTAAAAATTATTTTTACCCAATTAATAAATAGTTTTATAAAGTTTAATAATTATTAAAAAAATAGTATTTAGGTCTCGATTACTTAGCTTTAAACGTGCCATCTGAATAATATAAACCTGTTGCGTTCTATTAAAAAAATAATAATTAAGACTAAGTATGGGTTGTATTGAGTTTACCTATAAAAAAGAATAATTAAAACTTTCTCTTTCATATTATTGATATGTGGAATTTTTAATTTCAAGTTTTAGTGTCAAATAATCCAGATGACAATATTAACAAAACCAGTTTTGCTTTGTATTGCGATTAATCTTAAGAGATTATTGGCTTAGATGTACTAGGAAATGTCTATGTTTGGGATGCTAAAAATTTTACAAACTTTAAATATAAAGCTACTATGAGTAAATCAAATTTACTTTATAATTTCTTCAATAATATATTATATTAATAAATTATTAGCATAATATACTTGTCTAAATCCTTAAACTGGTACTCTAAGATATGATATAAATGGAATTTATTTGATAGTTCAGTGTGGTGATTATTAAATCATCAGTTTTAACATTCTTTCTGGATAAACTCAAAAAATAATCAAGCTTAGTAGTTTAAGTGATGTTTTTTCATTTATTGAAGAAATTTAGCTACTTCTTACGTATGATTTTTCTTCTGGAAACATTAGCATTTTTTAGTTTTAATCAGGTAATTTTTAATATCTAATGAAAATGGTAACAAATTCATTTTAAAAATACGATTACCTTATTAATTTCAGTTATTTTCCAGAAACATAAACTTTGTGGATTTAATTTTTTTATGCAAATATATTTTTTGAAATTGGCAAGTGCATAAATGATATTAGTTCTTGTATGAATTGCTAAATGGATTTTTATTTTAATACCACTGAAACTAAGTAAAGTAATTTAATATATGGCTTAGGTACTATTGATTCACCTTTTTAAACTTCATCTAGCCTTATTACAGCTTTTTATAATGTATATTCCTTAATAAATGTTTAATTATTTTATTCAAAATAAAAAATTTTATAAATAGGCTAAAAAATATTAATAAATATTTACAGAAGTAAAAAGTATCAATTTAAATATTAATATTGACCCATCAAATATCTTCAATTTAATTTAAGAATTTATATCACTTGATTTTGGAAGCAATATAAGTCTGAATATTAAAAATTTAAACTCATCTTAAAAAGGATAGATAAATATTACTAATTATATTTAATTTTCAAATTATAATTCTGTAACATTAGATAATGTATTATTGAATTTTAACACCTAAACATCAGCTATTAGTAGTTAGTAAAACTGTGGTATTTACTTGACAAATGTTCAAAATAGCCTCCTTAATAATTTAGATTATAAATCATAAAATTCATCAATTAACTGCTTCTAAATATAAATTAATAATTCTACAACTACAATTTCTAACACAGTTTTAGCTCATAAAGATTTCTCAAATGTTAACCAGCTTATAACCATCGCAAACTCAAATCAAGTAATTTAAATTATTAGCATTTAAATAATAATTCTATTTTAAATAATTAAAGATTTATTTCAGAAATTTTTAGTTGCTGAATTCTATATTGAATAGCCAATTGACTATACTCAATTAGATAAGTGATACTAAACTTTTTATTGATAATATGATAATATAAAATAATAATTGTAGCAGTTACTATGTTAATCCCCCTGATTTAGTAGGATAGCTCTTTCAAGTTGGCTAGTCTTAAGTAACTAATTTATTAATAGCAAACAATTCTTTTTGCAACTAGAAAATATTTTCTACTAATGGTAATATAAATTAAAAGAATTTAGAATTTATCTTTTAAAATATTACTATTTAATAAAACCAATTTTACATTCAAGCCTAATATCTCTTTTTCGATTCTATTTACTATTTTAACTCAGTTCCTTAACATAGTCTGTTGGTCAGTAATGTTTTTAGTTCAGAAAATTCTTACTTTTCTTAAAATCAAGGCTAATAGACAGTCATTGAAACCACTTCCTTATTTTTTACCAACCAAATAAAGAATATTACTTTATAAAATGTTACTGTCTATAATCAATATGAAATATCTTTTTGCATAGTTTAGTTTTCTAATTTTGTTAATTTATACAACTTAACATACTAAAATGACAAAGAATTTTAAGATAGAAAAAATAATATTAAGTTTGGTGGTTTTATATAATTGAGTGAAATATAGTAATTAAACTTGAAATTGATGAAAGTATCAAGCATTAAAGCAATAGATAATTCAATTATGAGTATCACTACATAACAATATTCAAAGATTAATATGTTATTTTAAAATGTAGAAATATTTAATAGCTAGTTTTATCAAACCAAATCTAATTCTCCAGCTAACCCAATATACATTTTATCACAGTAATATTCCAATATTACAATCTGCTAATGTTCCTTCCACGATAATTAACTTACTGGTCTAATTAACTCTTAAATTCAATCAACTACAGCTTTATAGATTGTAAGTCCTCTAGGAGATACTTCTATTTTAGAAACACAGTTTACAAATTCAAAATCAAACTCTATCTACAACTTTGTCTATTTATAAAGCAATTAAATTTTTATTAATTAATGCAACTTTAAAAACTCTTCATTTGACTTATAAGACCCTATTTCATAATTTAAGTAAGAAGGAGGGTCAATAAGAGCAAAGTTTAATAATCTAACAATAAAAGGAACATAATTTGTTAACTCTACAGCAAATTAGGGTACTTTCATGTATCTCGAATCTCTTAGCAATAATCTAAATATACAGTTAAATTAAACATCTTTTGTACAAGGCTATTCTGATTTCTAAGGAAGTGTATTATACATCGATAATTCTAACTCAGATTTATTTTTTAAATGCTCTTAATGTAATTTTACTGATATTTACTCTTTCAGTAAAGACTCTGAAGCAATATCTATTAAGTAAATAATTATAAAGGATCATTTTCAATAAATTTATTATTTATTTATTATTAAATATCTAATCTAAATATATTTATAATAGGTACACAGATAATCAAATTTCTAGTTAGAAAAATACAATCTAGTTCTTATAAGCTTATTTAATCAATATTTTAGGCCAATAAAATAGTTTTTTTATTAATTCAGCAAATTCGATAACTTAATTTTAGAATATTTAGCAAACTTAAACATAGAATTTTAGTTTTCCATAACAATTTACAAATTAAATTTCAAATCTGCAATCTCAGGCATTGGTCTAATGTTAATATTCAAATATTACTATTTCCAAATCTGTATTTAGCAATTTATATAGCTTACCTAACTCTATATCTCCTTTGTTTATAAACTCTACATTTTCTAATATAAATATGACAGATATAGTATTTTAATAAAGTAAATTTTCTAAGAGTTTAATCAACTTTGGATTAGGTTAGATTATCATACAAAAATCATAATTCCTAAATAATACTTAGGTATATTAAAGCAGATTTCTTTAAACCTTAAAGTCAAATTTACCTTATTAAAATAACTCTTTGATCATGATAGAGAACTCTTAATTACAAGCAACTGATAATACTCTTTTTGAAAATATCTAATGTTATCAAAATTGCTATGGTTCATCAATATACATGATTAACTCAACATTCTAAATTGATTAGACTAAATTTATTAACTCTAAAGTAATCAATTAAAAATTTTTATTTAAATTAAGTAATTTTTTTTAATTTAGGCAGTAGGAGGAGGAGCTATATTTATTGAAAGTTTAAGATCAAGTGATAATCAAATAACTAACTCTTATTTTATGAGCAATTAAGCTATGTAAGATGGAGGAGCATTGTATATTCATGGAAATAAAGGCGACTAATTCTAGTTAAAAATAGCTTTAACTGTATTTAATGATAATTTATCTTAATAAGGATCTGGAGGAGCGATTTTTATAAATAGTGATTCAAATAATTCAACATAATAATCAATTTTTATAAAAAAATCAATTATGTAAAATAATTAAGCATAAATAGGAGGAGCTATTTAAAATTTTGGTATAAATCCATTTTATGATTCAAACACTATATAAAACAACAAAGCTAGTTTATATGGTTCTAATACATTCTCTTATCCTACTTCTCTATTTTTAACTAACGAAATATAATTCAACTAGCAATATAACCAAAATATTAAATAAATAGTTTTAAATGATTTTAAAAGTGGAGGAAATCTTCCAAATTTTATATTTTAGCTGAGAGACGATATGAATATAACTGTAATTTAACAAAAAGATTAATTATTAACTTCTAAAATTTAAGTGAGTAGTAGGACATAAAATTCAACATAATATTACATAAGAGGTAATTCAGAAATCAGTATTGATCCTACATAGCACAATTTTAATTTTTCTAATCTTTAACTTATTGGAATACCTGAATCATCTGCTGTTATTCAGTTTACATCTGATTCAATCAAAATTTACAATCCTATTACTAGCCAATATGATTCTAATTACACATTTGATGTTTTTGTTAATTTTAGAAGTTGCTCAATTGGTGAAATAATAAATAAATACAATAATTTCTAAGAATGCTAAGCATGTGAAAATGGTAAGTATAGCCTAGATTATACAAGTTGCTATCCTTGTCCAAATGGAGGAGAATGCCAAAATGGTGTAATTTAACTTGTATAAGGATTTTGGAGAGAAGAGTAAAATAGTTCAGATATTATAGAATGTACCAATAGAAAAGAAAATTGTATAGAAAAAACATTTGGTAATTATGTATGCACAACTGGAAATATAGGTCCATTATGTGAAGAATGCGATGTAAATTATTAAATATTAATATTTTTTACAAAATTTACTTATTTATTTTAAAAGATTTATGGATAGTTTTGGGGAGAGAGTTTCACAAGAATAAATAAATATCAGTGCACATAATGCTAAGACTCTCAATAAAATCTATGGAAGCTATTTTTAAGTATTTCTTGGATTTTTTTTTCGCTTTAGATGACATTGAAATATGATAGAGAATATCAGATATCGAAAATTCTTATTTAAGTAATTACTAGAAAAAGATAAAATAGCAGCTCTAACCTATCCCATTTATTAAACCAAATCCTAGTTTAAAAAAGCTACATAAAAATTTTCACTAATTACATTTAGATTATTTCTTTTGTAAATTCTTTTAATTTAGCAATTAAATCAGGTAAATTATTTTTTAATTAAAAAATTTAGTTTATTAATTTGTAAGTAAATAAATATTTTTTTCAATCTCAAAATTTATTTTAATTATTTTTGATTAAAACTTTTATTTCTTAATTTGGTTCTTAATTTTAAACTTATAATATTAAATTAGATTTGCTAGAAATTACTTCAACTATTGGAGTTCCAATATCAAGTTCAGTGGATTATTTTGATTGTCTTCTAAGATATTCTAGCTCTAAAATACCAATAATTTACCTAAAGTTAATTATCTCATTATAAGCAATAATAATAGTTTTGATAATTTATGCTATTTGGTAAAAAATACTTCAAGTTTTTATCTAAAAATCTAAAAAATATGATATTTATTCAATATATACCGCATTTATATTTTTATTCATATTCCTATAGCCAGATTTAGTTTAATAGATGATTGGGTTAATTTCCTGTAGATAAGTAGGAACAACATCTTATGTCCTTATTAATATGAATTATAAATGTAATTCTGAAGATTATAATTTTTATAGCTCTATCCTAGTAATTCCCTTATTGATTATTTGGGTCTTTGTTATACCTGGTATATTATTCTTTTAAGTGTATTAATATAGAAAAAAATAAAGTTTGGATAGCATTTAAGTAAACTTAAAGTATGGTTACCTATTCAAGGAGTATAAAAAAAATGTTTATTACTGGGAATTCATTAAAATAAATTAAAAAATCTTTCTTATTATCATACTTAGTTTTTTTTCATAAAATGCAGCTATAAAAGGTATTCTAAGTTATTTTGTAATTAGCTTTTATGATTTTTTAGCAAGGAAATTAAAACCTTATAGTTTGAAATAGTTGAATTAGATAGATAGTTATTCTACTAAAGTATGCGCTAATACAATGCTTCTTTGTATTTTTTAAAGTTATACTGAACAAAAATATCTATAAATATGTTGCTTTGTGATAATAGTTACTCTAAATGCTTTGTTTATCTTATATATAATACTTAAGGTTTTGTAATAAAAACTTAAATGTATCTAAAAAATTGTTTAAAGTTAAAAATTTTTAAATAAAATATGTTATAAATTAAATTGCTTTAAATCTAGAGACAAAGTAGTGAGGCCTTAGTTGAAATTATAAATATAAAAACTGCTTTTAATTTTATCAAATTTAAATTAAGATTAAAAGCACTAGCTTTTTAGACAATCTCTTAATTATTGTAAGCACTTTTTATTTTAAATATTTTAAAATACATTTTTTAATTAAATAGAAAATATGAATTAAACAGGCATAGTTCCTATTTATAATAAATATGCGAAAGCAAAAAACTCTAAAATAGAAGCTTTTTATTAAACATAATCAATTTATGATAATAAAATAAGAAGTATAAACTCGCCTATGAGCCAATCTTGCTTACTAATTGCAGAAATTTCTAATAAATCTCCTCAGGACTTGAAATATGCATGTATAAATTAATTTTTTATTTCATTAAAATAAAAAAAATAATTATTTTTATACATTTTTTAGAATTAGATAGCATGAAAGAAAGACCTTAATAGGAATAAACAAAAAAAGATTCACTTCATTTGTCAAATTAAATAAAATAAACGCCATAAAAATAGATAAATATAGAAATTGAATCATTAACTCACTCAGACTAAAACTAATATATTTTTTAATTAGATTAATTAGATGAAAATTCTAAAAAATTAAATTAAATTAATTTATTAGAGTAAATTAGTCTCAATTAAGACACAGATTATGTTAAAAATAGCATCATTTAGCCTCTCAAAAATACTTAATCAATAAAAGGTTTCTAAAAAAACTAAAATTTGGTGATAAATTAAGGTAAAATAATTTTGTTAATCTTATTTTAATTAAAATTTCTTAAAATTAAATAAAGATGATTTAGAATTAATTAATGTTTAGAAATAGCTCAAAATATAATAAAATGAATAGAATCCTTTCAACATTTTTTCAAAAATTGAACAGCTTTAAGCAGATAATGATGAGATAATCACTATTTCCTAGCAATTAGAAGCTGAAAAATAAGACTGAAAAAATAAAATAAAATGACTATCTGCTATTTATTATTCAAACAAACTAACAGACAAATAAATTAAATTTTAAATTTGTTTTTTAAAATGTTTTGTTTATTTTTTAATTTAACTCATTTTTTAAATTAAATTTAATTATAAATTTATACATAACCATATTAATTATTTTAATATAATTACCTCTTACTAATTTACATATTTATTAAATAAAGTAAACAAATGTTGATTTTTTCAATATTTTAAATTTATTTATCTTAACTTTAACAAATTATATTTATGTCATTAAAAAATAAAATTAGAATTATAAATTTAAATTTATTATAGTTTAAAACTAACCAATTTAAAAAAATGAACAAATATATTTATTTATGTATATAATAGTAATTAATTTTATTTTCAAGAACTGCTAACATTAATTTGTTATTCATATGTAGGGAAATCAGTATATCCTTTAGATCCACCAAAGAACCATGTATTTTTATCAATGGTTTAATTTATTTCCCAATTATTCTTTACTCTGATTGGTAAATCTGGGTTAGAAATAGAGAGAACACCAAACGATATTGCTTAGGCAGTGTTACTTGTGGTTAAAGTAAGAGCTTCTTCTATTTTAATACCATCATTTGCTACCAAATTACCTTAGTAGAATTTCCTTAATTAATTAAAGAAATCAGGTATTTGTTAAGCAGGAGGAATTCTTTTATCTTCTGAATTATTTTTAATAAAATATTCAAGAGCACCATGTCTTTTAAGCTCAACAAAAGCAAGATTTCTCTTGCTCAACTCTCCTAACAAATATTCCATAAGGGCTAAAGGATTAGAATCATATTAACCATTATATCTACCAGTTGGTGAAAATCTTACAGCAACTCTATCATAACCAAATACTTCAGCAAGAGCATCAATTACTTCCAAGCAAAATCTGCTACGATTTTAGACAGAACCTCCATAAATATCTGTACGTTAGTTTGAGCCATCTCTCAAGAATTAATCAACAAGATATCCATTAGCTCCATGAAGTTCAACGCCATCAAAACCTGCTTATTTTGCTAATTCAGCTCCACGCTTATATTATTAAACAACTTCTTTAATTTCTTCAATAGTAAGTTCGTGAGGAACTGGATATGGTTCGTTATTTGCTAAGAAATTGTTTTAATCGATTGCAATAGGAGAAGGGCCTATAGGTTATTATCCTCCGATTTAGCTTGGATTAACTGCTCTACCATTATGCCATATTTAAAGCATTATCAAGGAACCTTTTTCATGTACTGCATCAACTACTTTTTTCCATCCTTATGCTTATTCTTCAGTAAAAATTCCACCTGAACCTATTAATTATTAAATTAAATTTATAATTATGTAATCTACTAATAAGATATAAATAAATTAATAATGAATGTATATATTTTATTTACCAGGGAAACAATGAGAAAGAGGAGATATCTAACTGCATTCAGTAAGGATAAGACCAAAACTAGCTCTTTAAGAGTAATATTCAACCATTAAATCATTAGGAACCATATCAGGTTAGTCAGCTCTCATTCTAGTTAAAGGAGCAACAATGAATTTGTTTTTAAGCTTGAGGGCTCCAAGTTAAGTTTCTTAGAAAAGAATAGAAGTATCCATTAGTATGATTATTTTTAAAATTTTATCTATGTTTTTAATTATGTTATTTTATATTTATTTTTAAATTATTGAATTATTTTATTTTATCTTATGCTTTTAATTCGATCTATTTTTCTTCTATTTTTCTCTAAATTTTCTCAAATCAAAGTGTAAAATTTTTACTTACAATAACAATTTATCAAAAACATTAAATCTGAAGATTATTCTGATTATGAAAGGACTTTAAAATATAAAAAATTTTCTTCTCAGTTCTTTTAAGTTCTTTTAGATTTCTGTATTTCTTCTAATTTAGTTTTATTTAATTACATATTTTTGTTAGCACATAATTTTATATTGAATAACAAATATCTTAACCATTTAAATTATTAAAATTAACGATGATGCACTAATTAAACTTATTATTTTTTCTTCTTTTTGCTTGTAACCTACTAATAAGTATAGTTTTAAATCCTTTTTATTAAAATCCACTATTAAACTTCTATTTCAAAAATTATATTGCCATAAATAAGAAAATTTAAAACATTTTTTAAAAATTTTTTACATAATTGAACAATGAAACATTCTTTTATTATATATATTACTTGTGTGAAAAGCATAAAAAGCTTTAGATTATTTAAATTTTTTTTAATATAAGAATAATTTTAGTATTCAACTATAAATAGAAGCTTATTTAAAATATTGGCTTTAAATTAAAGATAAATCCTTACAGTTTATCTCCTTGATATTAATTTATAACACGATAAATTCCAAGATTATTTTTATATTCATTGAATTCATACTCTTAGTGAGTTCATCTATTAAAATATTTAATAAGGGAATCTGAATATGTTTGAAGTAATAAAAATATGTAGAAATACAAATTTAAAGTTATTAGATAATTGATATGTTCATTGTATATATTTTATAAAATAAATTTAAAATATTATGAAGAATAATTAAAGAAATCTTCATTTTGTTTAGATTACTTTTATTTATAAAGAAAGTTTTATTACCTAAAAAAGATAAGTTAAAGGTCTTTAGAACAAAAAAAGAAATTAAAAAGAAGGTTTTTTTTAAGTTATTATTTTTTTTTACACGTAAAAATTTTTAAAAATCAAAATAAAATTTATTCTAAAAAAATATCCTTTATTACTTTTACTAATTCTTTAAAAAATTATTTTTAATACAAATAAAATAGTTTTAAATTATTTATCTGTATTTTTGCTTAAGTTATTATTTTACTTATAAAAATGGATACAAAAAATATTTTTGTGATGAGTTCATTTTTTGATATAGGTTATTTACAAATAAACATTAATAAATATCTAATATTATTTTATACAATAGAATCTTAGTTATAGTTTTACTAATTAATGGAAATACAGAAGGAACTAATATAAATAATAAATATAAAAATCAAGTTAAGTAAAAAAAAATTTTATATTTTACTAACCTATTTTTTTAAAATTTAACATTTAAAACTATAATTGTGAGCTATCTCGAAATATATATATTAAATGGTAAATTAATTTATAAACTAAAAAGGTAAAAAGTAAGGAATTTTAATTGTTTTAAAAATAAAAAAATACTAGATTTTGAAAATTTTTTGACTTAGAACTAATTTTATACAGACATTAAATAATTTTAAAATATAAAATTAAATCTAAGCTTCCATAATTTAATATAAATTAAATGTGCAAAAAGTTATTAAAATGAAGCTTATCAACTTAAAAAAATTCAATTATTTATTATTTTAAACAAAAAACATAAAAATATAAGAATATATTTAAATAATTAAAATTAGTTAATTTAAATTTATAATTTCTTACTATTACATCATTTTATAAATTAATTATCTATTAAATACTGCAAAATTTTATTTATGTTTGGCTTCATTAAACTAATATTTAATTAATTATTATAGTAAAACAAATAAGAATCTCTGAAAATTTTATATCGAAGGGTAGCAATAAAAATACGGAATAATCTTAAAAATTATTGAATTACTCTTAATAATGTTTCATAATAAAAAATATATATTTACATTGATATTAAAGGTTTGATAATTGAATATACATTCATTGTAATTTATAATTTATATTTGTAATTAAATAAATCATTATGTTATCGCTCAAAATTTATTAAATTTTGTCTAATTATCAATCCAATTAATGAAGATAAGTTATTGTTAGTTAAGATAGTTTAAATTGTAAAATTATATAAACATCTATTAATGATTAAAAACTAAATTTTTTTGATTGTTCTATAAATGGTTACAATAATTCACATTACACCATTATATTAATAAAGAATAACTTTATGTAATTTTTAAAGCAAAAAAAAAAATCTAATTAAAAAATTTTTCTCTTTATTTGGAAAATAGATATCTTAAATTTAATTTCTTTACTAAGAATTTCTATTTCAACATCAAAAGATTTTTAATTAGCTTCTAAAAGATTTTAATAGAAAATTTAGATATTATATTTAAAGTTAATCATTTCTATTTTTTTCATTTATTATGATCTTGATAAAATAATTATTTTGGTAAAAATAAAACTAGTTTTTATAAAATCTATGAAATGTAATTTTTATTCAATTTATTATATTTATCTATTTATCTTTAACCTGATTTTTTAACATAGATTAAAGGGTTAGTTTCGCTTAAATAGGTGCGAAGCACATAATACTCAATTATAAATATGAATTATAAAATGCTATACTGATTGCTTTAATTTTTAAATCTCTGTCTTAGTTATTTCATCAATAAGGTTTTTTATTTAAAAGTGTTTTTAGTATAGAAAAAAAATAAATTTTGGAATATATTAAAGTAAGCTTGAAGTGTGCTTATCTTTTCAATCAAAAAAGTGTTTATTACAAGAAATTAATTGAAAACTTTTACAATAACAACAAGCACTACTATAAAAGATATATTAAGTTTTTTATAATTATCCTTTTATGGATTTTTGATTAATAAATTAAATCCTTACGAAAAACAATAATTAAACTTTACAGATGACTGCTTTTTTACTAAAAGTGTGTGTTTTAACAATTCTACTTTATGTTTTTTATAGTAGCACTGAGTTATAATATTTGTAATTAACATGCTTTGTAATAATTATTGCTATTAATGCTCTGTTTATTAATTTTGTAATATTTAAGATTCAAGAGCACTAAATTTAGTTTAAAAAAATTCAAAAAAATATAGAGCAACATCAATTAATTATACTTGTTATGTAAGTTTTTTAGATATTGATTACTTTTTATGTTTTTCTTCATTTTATCTATTTTAGAAATTTAAGCTCAAATTGAAAGGAGGTAATCCTTATTTACTTTTTAATATAAATTCTAATAAATTAATAATTCGGCAAACATATCTACTTAATATAATTAAGAATAAAAAAATAGCGTCATAATTACATAGTTAACTATGCTTAAAATATTTACTTTAACTTTGATTACCATTTAAAATATCTTCATTCTATTTACTTATGGTTAAAAGTGCCCCTAATTGACTATGCAAAGCAGTAAAAAAAATATTTATTGATGTAATTTTAATTCAACTTTTTAAAATAGTGGCTAGATACTACGAGGGATTTTAAATTTACAACTTCTTGAAAATACCAAAAACTAACATACTACTAGTTAATTCAGCTTTTATTAGTGGATAACAAATCGCGTATAACATATTGTACTTTGATGATATCTCAAAGAGTTAAGATAACATCAAAAATGTGATTAGAAGTAGTTATTAAAATTTATTGTATATAATTAAACATATTTTTTATTATGATTAGCCGAATTTTAGATTACACAAATGGATTTTATAGAGTCTTAAAATAAGATCCTAATTTCTAATTAAAAGCATCTGTTAATTGTAGACCCCTATAGTCTCAAAATATCGCAGTAATTTATATACAGCCAAATATAGGGAATGTCTTACTTAAAAGATTATGATCTACTTTTTATGTGCTTCATTAACTGTGAGTGTGTTGTTGTTGAAATTAATTAGTTTCAAACAATCTTAAGATTTAATAACTGTTAATATGATTCTACTCCTTATAACACTTATACTTTTACAAAAGCTTTTAAATAATAAAATGGATTAGTTTTATTAGTGGTGTAAGATAGTATAGGTTTATTCTCATGGTCATTTCAAACTAAGACAAACAAATCCTAATACAATAGTTATTTTTAACTACCAAGTAATTTATTTTTCTTTTGAAAATTTAAAACTTAACAATTATTTTATATAATAAAAGATGGATTTATAAATTCTTCTCACAATTATGATGTGCATGATGATTATGATATTTTATTTTTAGCTGGAAATTAAACTTAATTAATTGCTTTTAAAATAAACCACTTTAGTGGTTAACCATATACGGAAATATTTCATCAAAGTTAATTATTTGGATTTCAAAATAAAGTTTCTAAATTATTTTTTTTAAATAATAGCTTTATTAAATAGTTAAAATTAATTTTACGCGATTAAGTATATAAAGGTAAATATATCTGGTTCTATTTATGAAAGTATTTTTACATCAGATGCATTTACTTTATATAGATTTGACTTTTAATTTGTCACTGATCCTATTACAAATTAGATTTAATCGTTGAACTTCTTAAATTTGTAAAATCCACTTTAAGTAAGTTTAACTGGACTATTATTAATTTAATCATGGTGGTACTTTTTAGAAGAAAATAACTAACTAATCATTGCTGTTTAAAATTAAAATGATTAAATAAGATCCTTTCCTTTTATTTATAACTACAACAATAATACCAGCTAAATTCGTCAATGTAAATCACTTTTTTAAAATTTACCAATAAAATTAAAAATTTTACACTTAGTAAATTCAATTTATTAATTTATCAATTAAAAAGAAACCAAAAAATATTTATTTTTTTCATTTTATTTAAAGAGATTTCAAATTTTTTTATACTCTCTATTATTATACTTTAATAATATAATTAATTTAATGTTATTTCTCATAAATTGAGACTATATCAATTAAAACCCAAACATTGTT